TATAAAGTACGTGACACACGTGACACAATACCGACCAGGAAAGAGGTATTCCAAACCCATTGCGCGCAAGGTTTCCTATATTCTCCCGGCGACAGGTGGATCACGGAGTAGCATCTCCGACAATCTGGACACAGACGGACGGGAGAATGGTTTAGGAATTGATTTATCGGGACGATATATCAATTCTTTTAGCGTATTACGGGGCGCCTTCCATTCCCGTCGTCGAAATGCGAGAAATCAATTATTATGGAGTACGCGCTGCGGCTTCCTCAGATGCTTCCATTTTTCCGGCGTTGCTCTCGCGCAAAGTTCCTTCTCTTTTTCTTCTCCCTCTTTTTTTCTCTCCTTTTTTTTATACACCGAACTTTAGCGAAACTTTATTATCAACTTTTGTTATCAAAGTTCCCAACTCATCTCGCGACTGGCGATGCAATAAATCTTAAAAAGATAATAAACAGTAATTTCTCGAAAACGAGTGGCACCTTTTGTTTCTCTCTGCCTCTCTTTCTTTCTAGAAATCCTCACGCGAGTGGGAAGAGAGTCCTGAGCGCGCATTTTTTTTACCGAGCTTAAATATTTGCGGAGCGTGAGCCGAATTCGTCGAATAATCCCTTCGAAAGATTGCCAAAAATTTGATGTTCGCCAAATATTGGATGTGGTTGAGTTCTGTTCATTTGACAGTTCGATATTATGCGCGAAACGCGCGGCAAAATGCGCGCAATCGTTCGGTCAGGATTCGCGAGTGTCGAGGATTTATCGGGATTGTACTGGCGCACCCACAATGGACCGGAATTATGAAAGACCCGGGCAGGAAAGTTTTGATAGGCTCTTTCTTCTCACGTCGGAGATGGATTTAGGTTTCCCAAAACTAAAGTTTTTCATTGTTCCTTCCCAATCCTCACGAGCCCCCCTTTATATCAGTCCGACAATAGACTCTATCCACTCTGTCCTCTGTTATTGTATGCATCTTTTTCGTATTAATATGCCAACCGGTGGAGTATAAAGTTCACGCGCATAAAAATAACAATAGGAAACATATCTGTGCATAGTGATGCGTTCTATTTTCACGGAGCATCATTTTTTAACGATGGATATTTTTTGTTTTCTCGTTGATAAAAAGCCGGGATATATTTTTTTGTTTTCGAATAATCGATAAAAATTTGAATGAATAATAAAAGTAAGATTTTTCTGGCAACCTCAAGCTCTCCGAATATGAATCGTACATGTATATTATATAAGTAGAAAACTGCGATAACCTTCCACGAGATTTTCCGCCGAGGAAAAATCGTTCGTGTAAAAAGGAGTAATGGATGGTCAAAGAAGCCTTCGTGCAAAACTTATATAGTTAAAAAGTGAGATATCCTATATACAGGCGCATAATCGATAATTTATACGAATTACATTTACGGATTTGTACGTCTATACGGAATAATTTATGCGTTATATTTCATCAAGTAAGAGTTTCGAAATTGAAAAGTTGGCGCATTGGGAACTGCGAAGTGTATCTTCATTTGCGTAACAGAAGTACGGTATCGCGAAAAAGTCAAGAGAAATCGGCGTCGCGGAATTGTTTTTCATTCGCAAACGAGCGAATAATTAATTGCCTCGAGTTTCTTGAAATACGTTTCTTTTTGTTCGCGAGAGGAACAGCCCGCGCGCGCGCTTCTTTCTCTCGCTTTTACTCTCGCGATAGAGAAAAATCAAGGCGAAAGAACTGAAACGATCAATTATCTCTGACGAGCCCTAATAAGAAAATTGTTTCTCTTTATGATAGAAATTTAATATGCCGCGTGCGCGTTTCGTGTCTGCGCGATGTTTGCTTAGATCGCGACTTTAAAAGTAAATAAAATGCTTCTCTCAAATATCTTAATACAATTCTTCAAAGAAATTCTCACAAGAATCTCAATCGTTAAATACGAATCTCTAATCAATATTTTATTATTATTTTTTTTTCATGCAACATGCATGTATGCATGTTGCATATGTACATGTTGAAAATTTAAATGAATTTGTGCCGCAAATAACACGAACGCGCTAATTGGATACAAGTCATCGATTGCTTTTCCGCATCGAGCTTCCGAGCGCAAAAATAGCGGAAATAAAAAAACGAGCACGACAGGTCATTTTTGTATTTAATTGCTGGATCATTCCCTTATCTCGCAGCGGCAAATTGGCGATAGGGGTTTGTCGGTGTTAAATTGATTGTGTCCTGTAGAGGGATGTTGAACATAGCGTAACGCCGGCAGGGGGTACGCACGCGTGTGTACGTATATCGATACGAGGATAACGAGTACGTATGTGTATATAACGTTATTCTTTATTCCTCATCTCCATTGTAATTCGCGGCGATGGCTCGCGTTATAGATGTATTCCCTCGCACGCTGTATATTTAACGCTAAATGTGGGACTGCCATCATTACGTTGATATCGAATGAACAGATCTACGCGATCTAGATAAACAGAACTAGGAGAATCGGAGCGTTAAAGTGCATATTTAACGCTAAAGTACGCATTGAAAATATAACACTCTATATCTCTCGTGCGGCTAAAGAAAACTAAAGAAGGCCATCTATATCTATTGCCGCTATGAAATTGAGAGTTTTATTCTTATACGTTATATACGAACGATATATTTGCCGGATAAACCGCACGAATAAAAAATGATATTTTATCGCTGTTGGAAGATTATACTGATGAAAAATAAGGATCCGGGGTAAAGTACTTCGAAAATTAACGTCATAGTGTACCGAGAGATAACCGCAATTCGCTGTACGTGACAAATATATTATGTTCGTGTGTATATGTGTGTGTATGCGTGTACGTGAGGGTACGCACAATAACGGTGAAACGAATCGATCCACGCGAATGCAAACTGTGGCAATTATTCGAACCGCAGCTGCGCGGAAACTTTCCCGTAACAGATCGCGCAACAATTAATAATCTGTATTAATTACTGCAAAATGCAGATATGCAATTCGAAGACGATAAAATCATCCCTCTCCTTCCCATCGCGCACGCTTCGTCTTCGACCGCTAATTAGTTTCCGAGAATTACTTTGACATATATTCCGCAGAGATTGTAATTATTTCATGTATTAGATTCCAAAAGTTTTGCTTTTGAAAATTACCTATCCTGGAGCTAGATTTCTAACTTTCTTTGGCAATTTCGGGTATAATTTTCAGAAAGGTATTCTTTTTTTGTACCAATCGTATGGAGAGATTTCGAGATTGAAGAGAAGAGTAGAGTATCCTATACACGTTGGAAGACTTACCATGCGAAACGCACTGTCGATTGACATGAAAATTTGGACAATTCCCGCATTCGTCGGAATTATGGCGAACAACGATCGAATCTCGAGCGAGTAGACGAACGAGATAACCCATCTCAATTAATCCATCGCGAGTGTCGCTCGCTGCTCGTCTCTCGATGCTCATCGATGGTCCGGATGTTGAATGGCACTCGAGACGTTCGAGCGAGTGCTATGAGACGCACGTATTAGATAACTATTGACAGACTGACGGAATACGCCGGGTGACGTACGTCGATTACAAATATCGAGATACGCGGTAATCATAATATGAGTCAATTAATGCGTTGGGTCGCCTGTTGCTGGATTCGACAGGAATTGCTTTTGTAGGTTTCCTACGTCGCATCGAAATAGCGATGTGAAATTCTCTAATTCCATTAATCTTGCAAAGAAGATTTATTAGAGAAGCAACATTTTCTTAAAAAATTGTTGACATTAGTAATATCGTTGAAATAAGTTACGAGAAAAAGTTGAAATACTTTCAAGTTCCCAGTTACTCGACTTTCATGTGAAAAGTCATGACGCGGTAAACATCGAAATAGCGATACAAAATTTTTTATCACTTTGTAATGAAATTTTGTTAGAATATGAGAGACGTTTTATCAAAATATTATTGACATTAGTAATATCGTTGGGATAAGTTATAGGGTAAAGTTAAACAACGTACGAGTTTCGTGCCGTTCGATATTTCCGCATGATGAGTTACGATGCCGAAATAGCGATGTCAAATTCTCGATCGCTTAATTTCGCAATGAGGATTTTTTTTAGAGAGGCGATATTTTATTAAAATATTATTTATAAATATCGTTGACATAATTAAATTATAATAAAAAATTAGACACTCGAATTGAATACGGGGATAATCTATTTCAGGCGAAAATAAACCTAAAATTATTTATTTTGTTAAGTTTAAAATTTGCTTTCATCCGATAATTTTAGAAAATTCAAATTTTAAACTTGCTTTTATCCGATAATTTTAGAAAATTTAAAGAGAAATTTATTTAATATTTATTTTACATAAATACATATGTGTGTGTATTATTCACGCTATATATTTAGTCCATGAAAATGGAAAAATTTCGCAAAAGCTTGTCTTATTTTTATTTTATATCTTTATAAAATAATTTATAAAATAATAATTTAATGTAGATATAAAACAGTCTGTAAAAATAGATTTAGATGTCGATATTTTTACAAAGTTATTCTTAGAGTCTATTTTTCATATTTTACGATTTATCATAATACAAAATTGCATATTAAGAGCATACGCTATGTTAGTGCGAGAATTATGCATTTGCAATTTAAATATCTTCCATAGAGTTCTTCACCGCATCATATAGAATACTCAAACTAGCATTATCCTCCGAAATATTTTCTTAATGCAGTTTTCGAGTTTCGTTCACTCGGGGAAAGAAGGGAGACAAGCGTAGACACACATATAATCATAGTTAGCTTCTTGAAATTGCACAAATTTCGACTAGGATGCGTAAAAAAAGAGAAAAAGGAAAGTTGAATATATTTTCTAATATCGGGTGGATTATTTTGCGCGCGGGATAAAGATATATTTGTAGGAATTTATGTCTGTATTATCAATGTCATTCGCGCAACGAGACGATGTTGTGCGCGACTGAAGCTCACGACGACAAGTAATTGAATTGCAAATGTCATAATGCGCCGTATTTGTTATTTTCAGGATCGACGAAAACGGTCCTTGGAACGCGACGAAGGAGATCATAACGCCTCACAACGATACGTTCTACACCGTCGAGAACTTGAGGCCATTCACGGTGTACAGCTTCCGAGTGGCGGCGATAAATGCTCTAGGACGCAGCAAACCCAGTCAAGCGTCCTACTATATGGTGACCCTTCGTGAAAGTAAGTTTCTACGATTTTAATTTTTTTTTCTCTAGTTTTTTCGCTTTTATCGAATAGTCCGATAACAACTGATACCGAGCGCTTTTACCGGTCGTTATTCTAAATGTAGATATACATCCAGGTGAATTGATGCAATATTCTTTTTAAAAAAAAATCAAAAGTAATAGATGTAATGTTAGTTCAAAAAAAATTGTTTACATTATAAATAATGCATATATACACATATACATGTATATATTACATGTATATATGATCTCATCATACATTTATTATAATTAATTATAACCCCCAGGGGGTCTTCGTTAAAGCCAGATGTAAAATATATTTGATATTGTAGTTCCGATAAACAATTTAAATATATTTGCCATTTAATAATTCTAAATGTTTATATAAATTATTATATATATTATGAGTGTATGAGAATATTAATTTAATATAACACAATAATATAACATAATAATATATAATAGATATAACGTGTATTAATTATACATTAATATGTGTTATAAATAATTTAACATAGTCGCGTGAAAATTACATTAAATAGATACTAATTTCTCGACGAATCGAAAACGACGAACTCGAAGTAACTCGAGTGGATCTCCCATTTCAATCCCGCCAATTTGTTAGGAACATTTATACAAAAGAATATTGATACTATTTGGAGCCCGACTCTAACTGAATCATCGTCTGTGCGAAACGCCCTCCTCTCCTCTCCTTCCCTCGCATCCTAGTAAAGTTCTCCGATAGAGATCAATATCGGCTTTAGGATATCCTCTCGTCGCGTACATCTGCGCTTCAAGCCGATTCAATCGTCCAAATTACATCTCCCGTGGGCTATCAAAACGAAGTTTGTCGACCACGACGACGCGCTCGAGAGGCGTCATGCTAAATTAAATGGTTGACACCCTCCGGTCGTTAGCGCGCCCGGGAGGGCACAAAGCGTTTGACGACGACGAGGCGAGGAAGAAGGTGACGAGGAAAACTACGGAACGGAAGAGGAGAAAGGTCCGCGAGCACGGGAAAAATGCAACGGAAGAGGACAGGGGAGGGGGAGAGGGAGAATGGTGTCGAGAGCGCGACGCGGCCAGTTCTTGGCATCCGGGGAGAACGTGAAGAACCGTCCAGGGCGGCTAACTAAAGAGGCGCTAATTGCAGTCGACAGCCGGGAGTGCGCAAGCAGGCTCGAGTCGAGCCTATTCTTTCTCTTTTGTCTCCTAATTTGCTTTCCTGCCTCCCTCCTCTCTCTCTCTCTCTCTTTCTCTCTCTTTCTTCAACTTCTTTTTCCTTGTTCTTTCTCTTTACATTTCCGCGTTCCTTCTTTCGTTGGACGATGAACGTCTGCGACGTTACCTCTGTTATAAAATGGGTTGAGCGCGCGCGCCTTGTGCACAAGGCGAGCCCTGTAAATTCCGTCGAGCTCGCCCGCGCGACACTGTATAACGTATAGCCGTATATACGTGCCACGGACGGCGAAGTTTGCGCACGGAACCATCTCCTCTCCGTGCTCTCTACCCTTTTCGACCTGAATTCCCGTGCGTCCTGATCGCAAGCCCAATTACCGCGTTACTCGCGCGCGTGTGCGCGAAGGACCGAGACTCGCGGTCCAACCGGAATTAGATAGCTCGTGGAATGTGACCATCGTAAATGGAATCCAGATGCATTCTTTTCCTTTTAACGGATGCATAAATGCGTGCGTGGAGATTGAATTCGAGTCTATTACATTAACCCTCGGCTTGTCTTTTTTCCCCTTTGACATTTTCGCGTCGCGCTTTTCAGTTCTTTCTATTGATTATTCCGTCAAGTCCTCACGAAAACTATCGCTGATTAAAATAATTGCGACATTTGATGCAATTGATATTCGATAACTTGATAATTTCATAATTGTTACGTTCGAGATTGATATTCGATTATTAAGTTGATTAAGATGACATGTGCTTTTTTTCGCACATTTGTAAATGCCCGTGCATGTATGTATGTATATCTCTTAATATTTATTTTATATATTAATTTGTGTGCTTTTGTAATGAAAATACATTACATTATTAACCACGTAATATAGTATCAATATTCTGCTAATTAAGTTTTAAATTAAATATATCGGTTGTCGGAATATTTCGGATTTATCCCTGAATTTACACTTTGCAAAACATTCTCACACATACGTGTATATGTCCGTGTTGCAATTATCTTGATTAATATTATCTAAATATATCAGTCGAGGTGTCTTCTCGTTTGTAAAAATTACCGTATCGTTTTTTGCGATATTGTCTCCAATATTAATAGACGAACGAAATTGATTTCGCATTACCATCTTGGAGATGCTCCGGGTGAAAAATTGAGGTACGAATTACACCGTTACGCGCATTATTTCGAAAACTAGTGGAGCGTACCCGAAATCAACGCGATTAAATGGACACGTAGATGCGATAGCTGCAAATCGATTTTATCGCGTGAGATAGAAATAATTATACGAGACGCACCCGCATTACCGAGCCGGATTTCGCATATCATTGTCATGCGGAAATGCGAGCGCGTACGCGCATGTTTAAATAATTAATTTAAATACCGCCGAACGATGTCACCGGCCAATGTGTCATCGACCGGGAGAAAAATTCGGCAGCAGCAATGTTATTCGCCGACCGGCGAGAATCCTGGCGCGATTACGTCCGGCCCTCTTTTTTTTTGTAATTTCCTGTCGCGATGTCGCAATATCGGGTGATCCGATCAGTACATCCCGAATTAGCGATTTCATAGTTTCGCGATAAAATCGAGGTAACGAGGTTTTTTTTCACAGGATATTCCTCCGACATACGGACGTTTTCTCACGGTAGTTTAGATTCCACAACTAGATCGCGGTTGTTGCCTATCGCCATTTTTAATTAATATATATATATATATATACATGTATGACGGAAATATAACGTTGCCTCTCTTTATGTAAAGTTTTGGCGCGGTTGTTAAGTAATGCGATACGCGATATGAAAAATTTTACGTATTAAAAAGGAAAAGACACGGGATGATATATAGAGTGCGATCGTAAAACGATACATTCGTCGCATGTTGCTGGTTTAGAATGCACGCGGATGAAATGCAGTCGCGAATATATTTACGTTGCCGATGCAGTCGAATATCGTATGTACTCGAAATCGACGCAACGATGCAGCGCATTCACGAAGAAAAGAAGTAGACGTGCAACATTCGAACGTTGTACCGCTATTCCTTATGTCACTTACGATTTCTCGAGAAAGAATTGAGAAAGAATATATACACATTGGAGGAAGGGAGCGTGAATCATATATATATATATATATATATATATATATATATATATATATATATATATATATATACACAAGGTGTATCTGATGAATGATGCACTAAACTTTAGGAGCGTATTCTAGAGGTCAAAATAAGACTTTTTTTCCTATGAACATGAGTTCGCAAATGAATTCCCCTCCGAGCTCCTAAAGTTTAGGGAAAAAATAAAAAATTGGCTGTATTTCAGAAAAAAAGAGGCTTCGACGTTATCTATCACCCTCTCTTGAGAGATAAATAAATTTGCGTTGCGGGTGTTTAGTCAATTTCACACATTTTCGAATTTTATTTCGGAGGGGGGTTCATTTGCGGACCCTGTTCATAAGAAAAAAAAGTCTTATTTTGACCTCTAGAATACGCTCTTGAAGTTTAGTGCATCATTTCAGATACACCCTGTATAAATTCATTTTGTTCGTAATCCTTGATGCAGAACAGGGGAATATAAATCCTGCATGCTTTAGTCTCGCGCGTTCATATCCATTTTTAATTATGCGACCGACGCATATTATCGATTCCAACACCGAGAAAAACACTGTCGAAGCGCTCTTTGGGGGAAAAAAAAATGATATCTTTTCCGGTCGATGCGGCGCGCGCGCGCGCGATTCGTTTCGATTCGATTCGGGAGCGCGTACGGACGGAATGCTGCCAGTCGATATGCCCGCATCGGCATCAACGATCGTACGAGTGGCGAGTAATGCGTCAATATTGACAGGACGCGCAGACAGGTTACGTTGCGCGCGTTTCGCAGGTCGCACGGTCTGCGAGTTTCTCGTTCGACGGACGGACGGACGAATGAACGAACGGATGGACGGATGGACCGGTGCACCGGGGAACTCGTCGCGCATTGGTTTATGCCACCGGATTCTAATTCGTGATTCTAATTCGTGGGTATCGGTGCGGTAGGCCGACTTGTATAGGTAGGTCGATGGTATAGTGCTCCTGTGTGGCAATGGCACGGGAATTCACGATGGCTCAAATGAAAGCTCGCTCGCTCGCTCTCTCTGTCTCTCTCTCTTTCTCTTCCCCCGTGCACCCCGTGGATCAATAGGACACGGACCGACGAAACTTCTCCACTACCACTTTACTCCCGCGGCCGGGTCTCTCCAAATATACGTATAGTCTACGCATACATACATTCATACATACATACATGTATACATATACATATACATATATATATATATATATATATATATATATATATATATAAAATATATCTTTTATATATATGCATACATACATACAATACCTGTATATATATATATATATATATATATATATATATATATACATGCACTTGGATATATGTACGATGCCCATTTCCGGACCTCATTCGCCCCGCTTTCGCCATAAATATACAGCGCAACCGAGCTACCAATTAGCCATCGGGACACCCGTCGGCACTGCATCGTTTCGCTTAAGTTCATTCGCGCCGAGTCGAATCGAAAATTGGCAGGACCTTAGCCAGGAAGCCGGACCTTTTCCCGTACATCATCAGTATCGGTGAGAAAGAACCGTGTCTCTCCTAAGAAATCTCTGCAAGGATCCGTAATTGGGATTAAGCGCGAGACTCGATTCTCAAACTACTTGACGTTTCCTTTGAAAAGTACAGTAACTTAGGAAAATCATGAACTGTGCATTTTACAAAAATACTATTTTTAAAAATGTTATATTTTAAAAATATGTTTTTGTTTCCTTCTTTAAAAATTGTGAATATTTGTTTTTATATATCTGCTCTGTTTTTAAAAATTGTAAAAATTTGTTTTTATATATCTGCTCTGTCTTCTTGTCGTATTAAAAAATTTTATTAAAATTCCCAAAGCACTTGATCAGCTTGATAACTATAGGTGAAAAAATAATTCTATTCTTTTTTCACGTAGAATAATGCTAATTAATTTTCTGAATTTCTAATTTTTATAAGAAATCGATATCAAACAATATTACATCGTGGCTGTTATCGATTGCATTCGCTTGAGAAGATTACTCAGTGACCACGCTGTTAATTCGGTATATCGGGCAAGTTGAGCAGATTAACAACCGCTTGTAATAACAACGATAAATGAGGAACTCAAGGTTTAATCGTCGATTGGTTCTGCCGAGGAATTTGCTCATCGATTAGATATGCATCCCGCGCATTCGGTATAATTAATTTCTAGGATAAATTGAGAGCGAGAAAGAGATAGAGAGACTTTCTCTTCCGTATGAAAATTCGAATGAAAGTACGAGAGCGTGCGAAGGAGAGAGACAGACAGGCAGGCAGGCAGACAGACAGACAGAGAGGTGACTGGTATTGTTGCCACCGCAACATCCAGCAATGGGTCGGAGTTCCCGGGTAAGTTCATTCGCGAGAGTCGTCTCGAGAATCGAGAAGAAGCGGTAGCTTCTGCCTGCTGTGCGAACTATTTTCGATTCCGACAGGGTTGATAAAGTAGTGGAGGGACTCGGCAGATGCAATAAAGGTGCCTTTCCGCGAGTCACGTTTCGACGTAGCGATGGAAGCCGAGGAATCTCTTATAGTACAGTGTGACCGAAGTAATTTATTTTCCGTCTTGATATTACATAATGACGATACTTTGTCCCGCCTTGGTTAAACGATGAATCATTTCAGGACCTCGATTTAGTTCGCAATTCTTGATTACATTCGATAAAATGTATGTGTTCAATTTTTATACTTATTTATATACAGTTTTTAATCAAACGATACAAATAATAAAGTTTTATAATAAAATGTGATTAAAAAATGTATATAAATAAGTATAAAAATTTATAATAAAATTTTAATAAAATTTGTCAAAATTGAAAAAAAATTGAAAATGTAGTTTTCATATTATAATAATTCAAATTTAATGAAATCTATACACTGAGAAAAAAATCTGGTTGCATAGAATTCTGATAGATATATATATATATATTCAACCAGTATGTCTGTTGGAAAATGGACGAACCAGAATTCTTGCAGGAATTACCCGATGAATCTGATTAATTTCTTCCTGTTAAATTTACCAAATTTTCTGGTTAATAATACTAAACTCACCAGCACCAAGTCGTCTAAAATTTTTTCCATCTAATCTCAAAAGTCTGTTTAATATTCTGAATTTCAACACGATTATTGCATAAATTCAATCCAGATTATTGAATAAATTATTTTAAGTTCACTTTGTTAGAAATTAAATTGATAAACAGTGATGCAAAAAGAGGATGCGGCTCAAACACACACAATCAGAGAGCTAGCGTCCTCTTTCTGGCATTATTGTTCGTAAGAGAAAAAAAATATACTTTGGATTTAATGTTAATACTACTTCTTTATATACATTTCATGGCAAATATTGAATACGAGTTAAGTTAAGAGTGGCTCGCCGTCTAGAGGCAAGCAAAAAAATTAATGTAACAAGAAATTTTATAGATTCAACCAGAAAATACTAACCAAATCCTTGTAGTAAAATCTATTAAACGTTCTAGTTATAAAAAATCAAGTTTTATCATGATAACTAGAAATTCTCGTTTGATTTAACCAAAATGCCTTCAATCATACACGTCTTGTTGATACAATCAAACGATTTTTCTCAGTGTATACATGTATATATAATATAAGACATCAATTTCGATCAGGTTGATGTAATTCCGCATGAAACTATGTATAATGTGTTTACGTACTTACGACCCTGTTGTATACGATACATTGGTTTCAAGAATAATATTAGCAATATGTTTACGCGAACGGTTTGTCACGATTAAGCGTTTGAACGTTTACGATGAAATTGGTACTTCGATAATATATCACGAAGGTATAAAACCGGCGTTATCGTCATAAACGCGCCGACGAGGTAATAATAAGTTAACGCAGATTTAGAGCCAGTAAAAAAATGCAGCTCGTATTTATCGTGGTGCTAAATTGCTCGACGAAAGTAGAGAACCGAGGCCGAATTAAGAGACTTATATATATCACTTATTCTGCTAATACTCGATTCGACTTATCGCACGTGTGAAAAATTATCTAAAAATTATCTTAAACTCTCTTCTGATAATCACTATTATGTATAATATATACTATATAATAATAATAATTATTATTATTATCTTATTATAAATATTAATTATATATAATAATACATAATTATTAATTATTATTGCTTCTCTCTGTTTAACAAAATTATAGAAATAATTATTACAATGTAATATTAATGTGTCTTGCTTGGATCGCAAATCATCAGAATTGCTTTTTCTCTTTACTTCATTTTAAACATAAATATCATCATTTCGACAACTGGTAATTAACCATTAATAAATTAAACGATTAAGGATTAATACGATTATGACCAGGCGGAGCTCCTTACTTTTTCGCGACACCGCCGAGTCGAGCTCGCGCAATTAACGCCTCGTGATCGTACAATTAACGCTTCCGTTGACATTATAACACGACGGATGGATGGGAACGGTCGGACTAACTGACACACAACGCGCATTAAATGTCCCGGTATTATTTCTGCGACAATTTCTCACTCTCGGCCCCGAGTCAGCTGACGTGCCGACGCGATATCGCGGCCGCGACAGCGCGCAACGAGAGCGGACGTTTCAGAAGTGACGGCGGGGATGCTAATTATTTCGAACGTGCTTCTGTGACGGGGACAACGAGCCCGCCCTGGCCTGTCCTTTGCGCGCGATAAGGCAACCCCGAAAACAAATTACGCGGGCTTTAAAATTATTACACGACCATTTTTTAAGCGACCTCCACGTGCGTCTCTACCGCGACGATAATCTCTCGCGGATTGAAACGGCCGTCCCGGAAACTGGATGCTTGACGAGTACCGTTCGTAATAATTTTCACGAAAAAATCCGATCGTTTCGGTCGAGATTCATATTTCCCAGAATAATGCAGAGGGATATTACTCGCCGTATATCGATTGCGATATCGATATTCGCGGATTCAGATACGGTTTACGTAGACGTGAATTAAAAATGTCCGACTTTGAAAACAATTCCACGAGGATCAATAAACTATGTGTAACGCGATCGCGTGTGTATGTAAAGATATGTTGTTAACATAGATTGGATAATTTCGATGAAAATGTGTATTTTCGATATTGGAAGTAAAATAAATTCGCGCGCGCAAAACACAATAGCACATATATCCGTGATATTTTATATGATATTTTCCCATATACACAATATTCGGCCATATGTATATATTTATGCAGAAACTTGAAATTTTCGAGAGAAGAGCCTGCCAGTTTGAAAATTTTTATTCACGATTGCCAGTTAAATATTACCTTTTTAATTTTTCTCCGCATCCGCGTCCGCGGGTTACGTACTTATTCACATACATATATATATATATATATATATATATATATATATATATATATAGTATTCGATGATTCTACGCAATCACAACTATCGATTTCCGGCCGTGCTCCTCTTCCCCCGCGCGCACCGCATCAACTTTAAATATTATTTTTATGTCATACCACCGCACGTTGTTCTTTAGAATCGGTTTTTTTTTTATAAACTGATGGATTTCTGTAGTGTACATATATACGTTTTGTTTAAACATCTCTCTCGATGAGAGAGAATCGTGATTTTCATCGGGATAACAATCTATCTTTTTTTTCTCACAGAATATACGACATATACGAGATATATATTTGGATAAACCGTTCGCTAAACACTTTTGCTAACATTTTTATATGCGTGTAATACGCGATATTTATAAATATGAATATACAATATTTTTACGCAAGAGCGTGCAATGTGCTTTTTCAGGATTACGTTCTTTTTTATATTTATTCTTTTTTTTTATTCCAGTATTGTGTGCTGTTTTTTTTTTAATTCAATTGAAAAAATTTATATTTATTATATATATATTTGCACTATTTGCAGTACCGGAAGGAAAGCCGACCATCACGGCGGCCCATAATACCTCAGCGACGTCTATTTATCTGGCGTGGAAACCGCCGAATCGTGATACCATACACGGCGAGTTCCTTGGATATCGCATCGGATACCGACGACGCGAGAAAGCGGATGAAGAGATGAAGAACATCTACATTCGCGATCCTGCCGTCGACGTAAGTCGCCAAGTATTTTTCTTTTATTCTTTATCAATCAATGCGCCATCATCCCTTATTAATCAATACGATTGTTTAAAAAAAAATGACAATTGTATATATTTCTTGTTCTTGATTCTTTCAGAATCACAGTATTCACAATCTGGATACCTTCACGCAATATTTAGTTTCGCTGCAAGTCTTCAATCCCGAAGGTCATGGACCGGCTTCGACCGTCACGGTGATGACCGACGAAGGTGGTAAGTATAAATAAGTAGAGAGAGAAAAAAATTATTTTATACTTTTAATTTGGCGCGATATTAAAAAATAAAACTGAGAAAATAAAATAAAATAAAATTGATACATTTTCGAGAGATACAATGGCAGATATAAAGTATTACGTGTATCCATGTACGGTAAAACAGAATACGGTATCATTCGCGATACGATATTTGTGGAAAGCTAGCTTAGCTACAGCTGCTAGACAAGAATCCTGTGCTGAAACAAATATTTCATTGTGCACATAATCAATTATATTAATATTATGTGTAATATTATGTGTAATATTAATATTATGTGTAACAATTATTAAACAAAGGTTTACATTTCTTCTTAATAAGAATTATCTGGGTGTTATTATTTTCTATTTAACGTGTGATATTTAAATCCAATTACGAGTATATATTTATCCAAATATTTTATTCTATTTATTCTATTTATTAATTAAGCTTTCGAACAAAGAAATAGAAAAATCAAATTTTTTCATAACATTTGTAAAATTTAATTCTGGAATACTTTGCCTTATTGTTAACGCAATTTAAAACACGTTATGATAATGTATTCGAATTTATGCTGATGATTCATCATTATCGTCATTATATTCTGAATCATTACGGTTCTACGCATCTACCGCCAACAACTTTCTAGCTGCACCGCACACGATAGAAACTCATCATCAGAGTGCTTCGTTTCGAAGGGGAATCTAGCGTTCTCATAGCCGTACCTAGAAAGCCTTGATACCCCGTATATATCTATTACGAATGCTTGAAAATCTCCCAATCGTGAAAATATTTCTCAGAAATCAAGATATAAAAGATCAGTATCAAGAAAATTTATACTCCATAAATTTTTAAGAGTTCTACGTGTCTGTACTTCCTAATCTTGTTAAAGAGAAAGAGAGTAGAGAAGGAGAAAGGAAAGCAAGAGATAAATAGAGACGAGAGAGTAGCAATTGATTCAAGAGAGAGGGTATCGCTCGTGCAAGAGAGACGAACGAGCGGTCACGGGAAGAACGAGAAGAAGAGGGGCTCGTGACAGTCGTGGCGACCGAGCGACAGAGGAAGCCGACTATAGAGAATTGAAGAGAGAAAGAGAGAGACGGAAAGAGACAAAGGGAGAGGGAGCAGGCGAAAAGGTGAGAGAGAGGAAGAGAGAAAGCGGCAGCAGCTGCTAGCGGCGTTTCGGTCGGCGCCGCGCCTGGTCGACGATCGATTTTCCCCGATTTTTCAGCACGCGAGAGAGGCGAGAGAGAGAGAGAACGAGAGAGAGAAGCTCCTCGTCCGCTCGAGTCGGCCGCGGCGAGCACGCTGCATCTCGCGTCAGCCGGTCCTCGTCATCGTCGTCGTCCTCGTCGTCGTCGCCGCCAATCGTCATCATCCGGAAGAAGACGACAACACGAGCGCGTTTGCGTCAAGCGCGCACGTGTATCTCGGTTCCTCGACCGCGCGACTCGCCGACTTGTCAAGAGCGCGCGGACCGCGTGCGTGAAAACGAAGCGGGCGAGCGCAACGCGTGAGTGCGCTTGTGTGTCCGTCAAGTCCACGCTGGAGCGTTTCGTACGCACTTGCCGGATGTACGGAGGGAGATCCCACAACGATGTATGAACACGGGCCAAAGCTGCCGCGGCTCGAACGAGCGTGAAACCGCGCACGCTCGCTCGCTCGCTCGCACATACTTGAGTGAAGCGAGTGAGTGAGCGGTGCGCGAGCGGGCGGTGCAGTGCGAGTGTGCGCGTGTAGTCGTCCGCATGCACGCGTCCGCATCCGCGGACTGCGCGCAGTGACAGTACGCGTTCCCGGTGCGAGTGTGCTCCGCCTGTGCAGAATAATCGCGCGGAATAATCGCCTCGTGCGGCCGGGTGTTTCCCGTCAATTGCGGTTAGTGCGGTCGGCGTCGCGGAATCGCCGAATGCGAGAAGGGAAAAATATCGCGACCGAGCGATCTTGTCTGGACAATCATCTCGCAAAAGAGATACATGTATATATACATATATCTCTTTTATATATGTATATATAGAAAGAAAGAGTGAGTGAGTGAGAGAGAGAGAGAGAGAGAGAGAGAGACGGAGGTTTCGCCGAGATGGCGGCGGACCGTCGATTCCGACGACGCCTTCTCCGGGTCGCTGGTGACGCCTAGTTGGAGAAATAGATATATCGTGGGCAAAAGATCCTTGGTTCGCCTCTCTCTCTCTCTCTAGACAAAAGATCTTTTGTTAGGGTCGCGCTAACCGTCACGAATCGCTTCTCCTTCTCGTTGCTCCGAAATCGGATTTCGGATGATTTCGGGTAGTGACGACGAGGTCGAGGGGTCGATATGACGCGAGCGAGATTTGCATGTCGAACGTTGCCAAAATGACGCTATAGTGGCACATCCGAAATATTCTTAATATTCTCCGACAGGTTTACTCACGTGTTTTTTTTTTCGGGCTTATTTCGATAATTTCTATTGTTTCGAGTGCTTCAAAAAATGCGATATGTCTGTGTGATACCATGTGATATCCATTGTGTTTTGTAAAAATTTCTATAAAGCTCTCTGTAGTTTCGATGAGTGTTTAAGAGGTAAATAGAAAAAAAGAGAAAATACCGTTGATTGACGTTCTCATGAAACATGAAATGTGACTATCACTTTTGAAGAGAAAAATAATACTTCAATCAAGTTCTCTCTTGACTTTGTTTTCTAGTATGCCGACATAGAGCAAATCATCGTCATAAACAAGTTTCGCGAATGATTTTTATCAAGAAAGTACTGATCAATTTCGATGACGATGTTATAAAAACGAGAAATAAATCGCAATTTCTCGTCATTTAATATTGATTTTTTTCTTTATATTCGATGCAATAAAAATGTCCAATACAACTATCACTTTGGTTACAACAAATGTTAATGAATCATGAAATGATACTCATATTTTTTTAATATTCGATCAAGGAAAAATAACAATCAATATTCTTGTGAGTCACTTGGATTAATAAGGTGCATCCATAAATTTCAATGTCACATTTTCTCACAATGTTTTTCTTGCTACATTCGATATAAAAAGATATAAGCGAAAAAAATCCATCGGAATGTCATTATTAGGAAAATAATTTTTCGAGGTTACTTAAAACGAGTGAAAATCAATAAAATCTATCCGGGCAAAACAGGCGCCATTGAATAATAAAACTATGTAACACAGATTCTAATCATGAGAGAGGAGAAAATCGATAAACCTCCAGCGGAGTGTCGGGAGTGTCGTTGAATAATAAAAAAGCGGCGTCTCCTTTATTTCCGCTTCTATTCCGACACGAGGAGAAATAGCGAGATTCCGTCAGTGCGACGACACGACGTTGAAGGACTCGTCATATGCGAGTTCGATCGGTGAAACTCGGTGCATCCGCCGCACGGCCGCGTGGAAGCACGAGAGGGGAAAGGCGAGGGGAAGAGAAGCGAGGACGGATCGTCGTCGTTTAGGGTCGACGACGGTGGCAACGCACGCTCCGGTGCTTCGCTCGAGCAAAAATCTCACGATTGAGGTCGATCCATTCCACGCTGCCGTTTCTCGGACCGTTCCAATTTCGACGAGCATTTCCTCATCATTGATCCTCGCGAGTTTATCGGCACATCCGCCAGAGATATACATCTTCCGATCTCTCTTTTCCTGCGATCGAAAGTGTAAAAAAGTTCGCGCTTTCTTTCAAATTTTGTGTCTTTTTTTTTTAATTATAAGCAAAGATTAAAAATGCTTTATTATTGCGAATATCCTTTGTTCGTTAATATTATTCGCGATCTTCTCGAGTAACTTTTGATAGTGAATTATTGATGTGTTTTCGTTTCGCGCCGGCACAAAAATGAGTCTCGCGAAATGGGGCGCGGTCTGGTTTGAACGATTACACTCGAGATTCCATCTCATTGTGAAATGAAAACTCGAGCCAACGTGGGATTGACGTGGGAATCCTCATGGATTAGCCTCATCCGCTTTTACATCTATCTTTCTTATAAAAAGAGTTGCAGTTGTTGGGATTACTGTATACATTTCAAATAATTTCAATCGCGAATTTTATAAGTGTTTTAATTAACATTTTTAAGCATAGTGCCAAATACAAAATTTATGATTTTTAATAATATATAAAGAGAGAACTTTAGCGAAATATTATTATTCTGCTTAATAGGCCATGGTACACGCGGTCCTTAAATGTGGTCACGTGTGTCATGTGCGATTCTTTTATATTGAATAAAAGTTTATTTTTAATTTGTCATTTTTTCATTATGTCATTTTCTAAAATTTTATTGCCGTAAAATAACCGCGTGTAACATTATCAAGTGTTAGCAATTATTAATCATCCCATGCCAATTAGGTAGTAAATGGAATATGGAACATTCTCACTCTCTCTTCTTTTATTTTCTCTTTCTCCCTATTGTTAAGGAAGCGTCATTGTTATTGGCCGTTCTGTAATTTGCTTCTTTATCCGTTTAATCCGGTGTTCAAGCTAACTCAGTTTCTCCTGCAACTGACGTTTAATTGTTCGTGCTGCATTGGGAAAATTCACTCTCATGTTGTTTTCGAAAGTGCGGTCTTTCGTGCTCTCTTTTCGTTGATCGAAACTTGGAATAATATACACAGCGAAAAAGTACATATGCAAGCTTATGACAGTCTTTATTTTTGGATATTTATAAATTAGAAATTGGTTTGTAACACATATAAAATATGTGTAATTTTGGAAAGGCTTCTTTTTTAAGATTATAAGCGAAATGGAGAATGAATAATTTATTGAAAGTTAATTTCTGGATAAATAGATAACTACTTATTATATTCATTTAATTTCAAATAGAATTTTTTTAATTAAAAAGTTCACGATATAAGCTTCATGAAAAATGAAAAAAAAAAGCTTCATGAAAAATGAGAAAAAAAGATAATTTGTCCGAAGAAATAATCGACATAAAAAAATTTTTCATTTCAGTGCAATATACAAGTGTTATCGTTTGATTTGAGATGTATACAGTAGATATTTCTTATTTATGTACTTCTCTTTCAACTCTGCATTTTTATTCTAAATGATAGATCGAATGGACATGACGCATTGATATTGATGTGGCATCGGGTATCGTGTTGTTTACGATGCTACAGCACCATGTTCCCCTAGTCTCTGTCCACTAAAAATGTAGGGGGAGATCAATCCACGTTCCAAGGGGTCCGAATAATCCCCTGCTGGTCTGCCCTCGTGACACGATCGTGCGTGGTTCGTCGATGACGAATATTCGAGGACGCGATCACGAGAGAGGGTTCACAATAATTATTTCAGTTATTATTTAACAATTTTCTCAAAGAAAGCTGTACATGCTGCATTAATATGCGCCGAAAATTCTTCATTCCACTCTTTCGCAAGTAACGATCGATCGATTCGCGAAGAGTTTACGATAAGATCATGCTAAATTATTTGTATCTCAACAGGAAATATAATCGTTGGCAAATATAGTGCCATATAATTATCATAACACATGCGACGAAAAGTTGAGTCAGCGCTTGAGATAACCCGAGGACTTAGGCGCGCGCAAAATGTGACAATGACAATGGACCGGTTGGTGAATAAATGCGTCAATATGCGTCCTACTTGGACTACCGTGACGACAACGAAAAGACGGTGTTATAGTAATTGAGCGAATACGTGCCGCGAGAGGAGCGTGCCGAGTGTTCCTCGGCGAGGATGGGCGAATTTGTGAAATAACGGGTGTAGCAAGAGAAAGAAAGAGAAAGAGACGTACGCACAACGCACGCACGCGGCGTTTTACACAGCTGCAGCTGTAAAGAAGAGAGGAAAAAAATGATGCCGTGGGCCAGCGTGGCCAGTGCCGCTCAACTAGCGGCCTCGCTAGCCCTGATCCTGAGATTCCTCATCGTCACCGCTGCGTATCCGATCACGACGATCGACGAGCAGACCTACGAGCAGACGACCTACATCGTGCCGCTGTCTTCTACGGAGAATGACAGCGATATTTATCGAGGTAATTTGCGGGGGACACCGCGCGACCGATAAACCGTCACCTGCTTGGAGAAAGCGCGATGAGTGTGTTTAGAATAATTTGAGAATTTTAATTTAAAATATTTAACGATAATGGCAGAGAAATTAAATAAACGTTAGAAAGAAAAAATCAAGAGGAGGAGGAAGGAAGTATTACGCTTTGATAAGGCATTATCTTGAAGCTTATCATTATTTATATTGTCATTGTCCTGTTTCTTGGTATCTTTATCGAAACAATACAAATCATACTATTAATAATATTAAATAATACTCTTAATAATATTAAATGACCTATGAGTTTGTAAACAAAATCACATTGCGATCGCATAGTACATTAGACGAAAATATGATGCACATTTGAAAGTATTTTGAAGCTATATATGAAATTATGTATATTATTTATATTTAGCTGATCAGTAAACCCCCTTCAATTTCTCCTAGACATTAAACTTATTAACTTGAAATTGACACTAAATAAGGTGTGTAACTCAAATAATATTAAAATTGATAATTACAAAAATAATAATGAAATGAGACAGACTATTCGTTTAAACGTTCACTTGAAACACTTGTTTGAAGAAAACGTGATTCTACGCGTTCAAGGAATACGAGTCAAGTAGACTGCGGTAAAAATTTCGCCACTTAGTATCAATTAAAAGCGCGACTAATTGGTAAAACATAAAAATGAATGCGCGAGTTTCACTAGGAAATGTCACTCGTCCATTCAAGTATTGCGTTACGCAGCTACTTCGTAATCATCTTGCGAGTATACAAGATTGTCCGCTCGTGTAATCGATGCTTAACTCATTTCCCGTTCCGTCTCGATTTCGCGGAACGCGAAACGCACGTGTGTTTCGTAAGCTACACAAGGTGACTTATCCAAAGGACGCCTCCTCATCCGTTTCGTCTCCTCCTTAAACCACGCTCACCTACAATGCACACCTATGATTGCGCAAATGTTTTAAAACGCACAAGCGTGCATTGTAGTTGCCCGGTTATTTTGTAATTGCCGTTGTAATTGCCGCAAGTGCGATGACCCCGTTGCGGGAAAACGATATTTTGTAACTTTTTTATTGCACGCAGAATTAGTTTCTACATAAAAGCGTAATAAAATAACGATGAGATTGACCTGTGCGGTTTATCTCGTTTTATCTACGTAAAAAAAGCGCAATACTCGTTTTTTGTATACGTGACATATAAACTGATGGATATCGCCATAGCAACGATTACCTACTGACCTTAAGTGTCGTCGCCGGTATAAAAATCGCAGTATGAAAATACGTTTATCCTCACAATTATTTTCAAGAGTAGAAGCATTGAATATATTTCCTCTTGCGCGGAATCCAGACATTCTATTTTTATGACAGAATCCAAGGTCAGTAGCCTAATCCAGACAAATGGAAATACCATTCCCGAAATCGTCCCCGGAAATCATATACGGTATTTTTTAAATGATTAAATAATTTTTATAAAACGAGACAATTATTAGCGTATAATAATTTATCAACAAAAAATAATTTATTGTTAAAAAAAAAATATTGCCTCTCCTTGTGCAAGAATTTTCATCTTGAAGATCTATGCAGGATTTCGAAAAACTCTGTGTGTAATATCGTCTAAAATATATCAATTATTTAATCAAGTTAACTTGCGTTATTCAAACTCGAGTCGAAGAATTGCAATGAATTCGGATGCAATCGGCTCGAAGCGGTGCAAATCGGTATGCAAGCGCGACTCCTCGAGCAGGTACTTCGTTTTCTTATCTGTTCCTTTCACTTACGGTGAACCGTTACTCACTGCGAACCTATCCTAATAAAGACACTTTCGCCTACTTGATTATGTTATTTGGTCCTTCGAATCTGTGGAAAAACGATCATTTTCACGGTGATGAATCTTCCTCTCTCTTAAAGAAAGCGCATCATTCGACGCTCGTCTTATCGAAAGGCATAATACAAGTCCCTTTTAATTTTTTTAAAATTCACTCGAGATCGAATACAGTCTGGATGAGCGTGGTTGAAAGCATTTCGCGAATAGTTTTGGCGCGCAATTCATTCTTGAAGTTGCGCACGACGGCGGTGGATCGCAAGATCACGACCTTGCTTGGCATACGGCGGGACCCGTAATCGTATTCATTTTTCAACCTGATAGTAATACGAGTACGACTCGGCTTGACCGTCGTTGTGCGTGCACAGACTCGATATGACATCATCCACCGCAGCTTGTAAGGCTTGTAAAGGTGTATATCTCCTCGCTTTCCTCGCGCACAACCTCGCATTTTATTACACGTCGTTAATCTAACGCGCGAATTCGATAAGGTGCTTTAAACGGAACGCTGCACAAGATGATAACGCACTAAAGATCACCAAATAGTCGTAAATTATCGTTCGCGGGAGTCGAAGAGAAATGATCTTTCCCGTTGCACGTTGTCGATAAATCGGAAATAAAATAATTTTTCAATCATACGAAATTGTTCTTAAATTCCATCGTTTTCTTTTAGCCTTTTTTTTAAATTCTATTACGAAGATTCTTGTAACGTGAGAACTTGTGTGTCTTTTAATTTATTTCGTGTATTATAAATTTTAATTAATTAATTTATATATATATTTATCTTCTCCTTTTTCTTATTTTTATTTTATTCAATATATTTGACAGACTTTCCCTTATTATTATTATGTGTATTATAAATTTTAATTAATTAATATATATATATATATATATATATATACATATATATATATATATATTTATATATATATTTATCTTCTCTCTCTTATTTTTATTTTCCTCTTATTACGCGTCATTTATTTGAAGCGTGTCTGAGCAAGATTACTGTCAATGATTTTACGCAGCTGAGGATAGAATGCAAATCAATCTGCATGTTTTATACCGCACATCGTGCAACGTATGGTAATGCCGTAGCAGATGCATGAATATTCAATAAATTTGATCTCTCTTATATGAACGCATCGACGATCGTTTATTCGTCCGTATTATTTACTCAAGGAAATAGAGCTTTAGAAAAATGAAAATATAGCGGTATATCGATATCTGTTGCTCGAAAGAATAATTAAATAACCATGTGGGAGCGGATCCCTGATATTGGTTACGTATTCCGAATATCTTGATATCTTGATATCCGAAAAGAGAGAGAAAGGAAAACATTGGCATCATATTTTGTTTCTTATCGATGCAACGCGTAGCGAAGGATAAAAAAAAGAAAGAGATCCTCGTTTGAATGTCTCTCGTTTTTCTTTCTCTCTCTGCGTTATATCTGCCTACATTGTATCATAGAAAAATTTATGACACGTGCAAGTCTATCTCTTTATGTCCATGTAAATAACGCATTCATCGTATGAAAAGGCGTTACGCTCCGACAATGAGAAAAAACGAAATAAAAATTTTAATGGAAAGTCTGCTATTTCTGATGCGCTTATTTTGAAATACGCTTGGAATATCTTTCGCTTTGTCTCAGCGCGACATTGCAAATGACGAGGAGAGAGGAAAGGTCAATATATCGGCTTATTGTAATGAAAAACGTATCTTTTTTTCTCGCTCTTTTAGCTCCAACAAAGCCGGAGAATCTCACCTCCCGGGAAATCACGGGCAGCAGCATTGAACTCTCGTGGTCGGAACCCGAGAATGCCAACGGTATCATCGTCGGTTATCGCGTTTACTATATGCATTCCAATTATACGGATGTTAAAATGCATATACCCGATAAATCAGACTCGGACGACCCGAATACCAAATTTATCCTGAAAGATTTGAGTGAGTATACACCTTACACAATATTGCACCGTAAACAATATTGCACGAGAAATACGACATTACGAATAAGATTGTTTAAGTATTAAAAAAGTTCAATAAATATCAAATGCTCAATCGGACTAGGATTTACCTTTTTTTATTTATTTAAATGCCAAAAAAAAGAAATCTTTAATACAAATCAATTGATTAAAATTTACATCAGTAAAGGTGACATCGGTAAATTTTTTATTCCAACGTATAATTTTAACGTTAGTCTGTCTGTCTTTTTAAGATGCGAGATTAAATATGCAATCTTTAGTCGACAACGAATAGTCATTACAGTAGACGACTAGAGATAGAGGTCGGCGTACTTGGCTCATTGATAAGAAATGCTCGAGGAATTCTTATCACTGTATTTATTCTTTTTTCATATATCCCTGCTGCGCAGGGACGAATGCATTAGATATAATAATTTAGCGTTACAATTACAGACGAATAAAGAAAGAATCATATTTCATTGCGAAAAGATGCCTCGATGAGATTCAATATATCCATATGACGCGACTAGTCACGAGCAAAAAAATAGTCACTTAAGTTTCATTCATGAAGGTTAATTTGCTCGATTGCCATTCATCATAACCGAGCCGGGTTGTCATTTGCAGATCCAAATACCAACTATAAGATATGGGTGAAAGCTTACACGCGGAAAAATGAAGGCGAGCCTTCCGATCAGATTATTCTCAGAACCGATATAACAGGACCAAGCGCACCTTTAATTTTGAATCTGACTTGCCAGTCTCACCAGTCCCTCTATATTCAATGGGCCAGACCGGTTACTTTTTCGGGCTCGATCGACTATTACTACATCAATTATCGACCAGAAAATGGAAGATATTACGAGGAAGTTGAATTAGCCACCCAGAAGAGTCATCTCGAAAGCGGGGTTCGTCTCTCTTTTATAACTTAATATTAAGTATATTTTTACACGGGTAAAAAGAGAGTATGTAATTTACTTGATATTTATAATATTTGCTAATAAGAGAAACTTTCTGTATCTTTTTTTCCTTTATACTTTCTCTATCATCGTTCACATCAATTTCAATAAAAACAAATCATAGTACATTGTCCGAATTTATTTTTATGCAGGCGATCATACCTAATCTGACAGTGAACACCGTTTACGAAATCGTGGTACGAGGAGCCACTAAAAGCACAATAAACAGCCGCATCATTCAAGGCGAGAGTTCTACACCGGCAAAGGTATTGGTCACTCGTGATTGCGACAAGATACCGCCCTTGATGCGTCGTAGCAGTAAAGATCTCAGCCCCGGAGTGATCGCTGGGATGGTATGCGCCTGTTTTGCCGTGATGTTGGCAATTACGTCCTTCGTGCTATGGAAGTAAGTCACGATTTCATTTTTTATCTCACGACGCATTATCGCAGAAATCTTAATGCTGACTTGATTATGAAATGATATTTCCGTATCGATAAATGTGTATAATTCTAAATACTCTCATGTAACGTAAGAATTTAAAAAAAAACTATATTCTAGATATATTATACTGATCGCTATATGTAGATATATTTAAATTTCTGATTTATATTTCTCTTTTTATTTGAATAATCTCAGATATACGAGAAAGGATAGAATAATTATAATAGTTAGTTACAATAAATCAATACATAATTTATCTAGTTTAATATAAAGCTAGAGAAATAAAATACAAAACTGTAAAAAAACATAATGAGAGATCTATACTTTCTCTCGCTACGCTTCAATGTTTCAGCTGATTTTACAAAGTATTATTTTCTAACGTTTCACTTCCGCTCCGCGCTGACTAGTCTAACACTAAACGATCTATTATTCTTCTTACTTAAAAATTGTAGATGAGACAATTGGCATGTTTAAGGATGTTTTGTATATACAATCCCAGCAAAAAGTAACTGAAAATCAATATTGACGAATATATCCACTTTCGGTGTATTTTGACAAATCGTGTGGAATATTATAATTTGATCTTAGCTTACAGTGCAGAGATGTATTTATTAATATTTATTGCATTTTTACTGAAATATTCCGAATTTTGTTAATCGAAATGATTAACTTTTGGCAGAGAATTTCGAAATTCTTGTGATAGATACATGACTAACTGCATTGAATTATATTTAATATCTTTTTAACCAGTTAGTACTTGTATAATATTATTTGACCAAATATTTCCTCTCTATCTAAACTTTTGCAAATTTTAAACAAATTCTGAATATTTTCATGTGTTTTTGTCATTTGAATCAACGTGGTTATACGTTTCCAATAAGAACACATGTTAATTCGGTGCAAATTAAAATCCTTATAACTTGTGAACGCTTTAGTGAATCGATTTAAAAATTGTACTGAAGATTCTAAACATATGTAAGGACATTCTGTACAATTTTCATTAAATTTTCAATATTTTGAAAATAGATACAAAACATCTTTAAACGCCTCGGATCGCGAATGATATTCGGTATACGAACAATTAGAAAGTTTTCAACGAATGATGCAATCACATGCATTTGTTTTTCTCATTCAAATTTTTCTGTTGCAATTTCTCTTCTCAATTTATACGAGCTTTAGATTATATCATATTTGGTCTATTATTAAAAATTATGATTTTATATTTAAATTTTATAATATTACAAAAATGTAATTAATTCAATTATAAATTCAATATTTTTAAAGAGAATATTTTGTAAAAATAATTTTACAGAGAATATTTTTTTCAAATTAAATTTAAATAAGATTACAAGTTTATTTCTATCATTTCGCGTAATTACTAAAATTATATCGCAATACTCGGGAAATTATTCGAGCGTACATATCGAAGCCGCTTATATTAATCTTGTAAGAGACCGAAATAATTTTGAAACGCGATGATATCGTCAAATTTATCGGGCGCAATTTACGAGACAGTTTGTATGTGTTAATACAGAGATACGCGCGGTACACTTTAATAATATCTGGATGCGCTCGCGCTCTTATGTTGCACGTTATCACGCGAGATAACGCACGGTGACAAAGGCTGAGTGTCTCGCAGTTACCGGAGTAAAACGTACCGAGTCGGAGCGGAGCGAGACGCGCGTAACGTGACGCACGCATCAAACGCAGAGACTTGCGCGCCGCAAGTGGAAACGCGTGTGCCACGCGTGTCTCTCGTTCTTTTCATCGCGCGTCAGTGTCTCGGGTGACGTTCTCAAGAACGATCGAAACGGCACGAGCGATGTACAAGACGGATCGGCTGATGACAAGCTCATTTTCTGGGTCACGGACGGAGTCCGACTTATTTAGTCGTTGTTTATTCCGCGAGCGCGTCGTTTGTTGATTCGTGAGATCCTCTCTATCGGGAGACCCCGCCTATGATGGATGCTATCGTCGACATTATGCCATCGAAATGAAGAAGTTTTTTCGTAACTTGTAAGTTCGATACGTATATATGTACATAGGTGTGTGCTTTGAATCCAAGAGTAATCAGCGAAGGAATCCGTGATATCAGCATTTGATTATGATGTATCAATATTTGATCATTTCTATCTGACTAGTCCATATGCGTGTTTTTCGTTGAGTCTATAAGCTTCGCGGCTGAAACACTTGAATATTTTTAAATTGCATAATGCTTCATTAATCTCGTTAATAGACAATATTTATATAAATTATATTTTAGTGAAAACATCCGTATATAAGAGAAACATTAGATTTTTTCTAAATACTTTCTAAGAAAATATATATTTCGAAAAAGATAGATGTGTGTATGTGTTTTTTTTTTCTAGACCGATCTTTAGGAAATGCTTCCACACTGCCTACTATTACCTGGATTATCCGCCGCGGAATGTTCCCACTCTTCAGGAGTGGGAAAACAGCGAGCAAGACGGCGAGAGGACCGCCGTGGCCGTCCAGCAATTTGTTCAACATGTCGCGAGTCTTCACGCCGACGGGGACATTGGTTTCAGTAAAGAATACGAGCTCATACAATCCGAAACTGGGGACTACACCGTGGAGAATTCCCAATTCGCTGAGAATAAGGCCAAGAACAGATACTTGAATATACTCGCGTGTAAGTAGTCCTTGACGTGTCACGCTTGCGTTCGCGCGTTGTCGTAATATTTACAAATGAAAGGAAACATCTTAATATAAAACTGGTAACGCTTCACAGTTCTCTATTCCTCGCGAGAATGTTATATTACTTTTCTGAAGGATATTTTCATTCACCATCGTCAAGCCGATATTCATTACGACCGATTTATTTTAGTTCAATCTGACAATCAGCGACTGACCTCTTCATTGATTCCATCCTGGCGTTATGACGTAGTTATCAATTCTTTCTAGCAATAACAAAAATTCAAGGAAATTTAAATTTATACGAAACAAATTATCGTATTTAATGAAATAAAAACAGCTGTTTTAACAAGAGGCGAAATAGTTTAACGATTCAGGAATATTACACACAGTCGCAAAATTACTGCTAATGGAAAATGCCTCCTCTATTATTATGTGCGGAAAGGAGTAATAAGCTTCCGTCAAGTTAAAGCGACATCTCGGTATAAGAGATATCTCGGCTTAAATTATACGTTGATTTTTACGTCGATTATGTCGATAAGTGGATAATTATATCGTGCGTTTTTTTTTAAACTCGTATTTTTAGACAATAAAATGCAATATTCTGAAGATACAATCTTATTGAAGATGTGAAGCGTGCTTTAACTTTATTCAGCTCGAAACAAATAATGTCTCGATTATTATAATATACATTTTTTATATTATTATCATTAGACGACCATACTCGTGTGCAATTACTCTCCTGCGGCGGTGGGCCTCCTAAAAAGGGTCAAGATTACGTTAACGCGAATTACATCGATGGATGGCAAAAAGCGCGAGCATATATCGGTACCCAGGGTCCACTCCCGCCTACGTTCGATGGCTTTTGGCGGATGGTTTGGGAGCAACGCGTATCAATAGTCGTAATGATTACCAATCTGGTCGAACGCGGTCGTGTAAGTATGACTATCATATATATCGCATATTTTTTATTATAATATGTAAAAGCTGCGCTACTAAATAATAAACAATGAAGTTGAAATAAAAGACAATTCAATTATTCATATGTAAAAATGTTTAATTTACAATATATAATAAATTACAAGTAAAGTGAAATTTACAATTTATTCAATTATTATATTTTGTTTATTATTATTATTATTATTATTTTATTTATTTTATTATTATTGTTATTATATTATTAATATTCATTATTTATATTTTTATAGAGGAAATGTGATATGTATTGGCCCAAGGAAGGGACCGAAACATATGGTTATATTCAAGTGACTTTAGTAAAGGAGGACATTATGGCGACATATACCATCCGTACTCTTCAAATTCGACATTTGAAGGTATAAATATAAAAATAAAATGCACCATACATAAATGTTTAAAACATTTTTAAGAGAAATAAATGAATAGATATAGAAATATTACACCGAAACAAATACTAATGTGAATGTGTAAGCGATTAATTTTTATCAATCTCTTTCGGATTTTTAAGCAGATTAAAAAGAAGAAAAATGGGACCAATATGGGTGAACGTACTATATGGCAGTATCATTATACTAGCTGGCCTGATCACGGCGTGCCCGATCATCCATTACCGGTTTTGAGTTTTATTCGTAAATCGTCTAATGCTAATCCGCCCGAAGCTGGACCTATCGTAGTCCATTGCAGGTAACAATCGCCATAATATTTTAATAAGAAAATTTTAGTTAAGATATTTAGCTTAATACGTATTAATATTCATCTTTTTTCGTTTCATTTATTTATAAATATTTTTAACTATTTTATTTTATATATACAATATATGTGTGTGTGTGTGTGTGTATGTACAAAAATATATTTCTTTGCATTTTTCAGTGCCGGCGTTGGACGTACTGGAACATACATCGTAATTGACGCTATGCTGAAGCAAGCTAAAGCTAAGGACGAAATCAACGTATACGGTTTTCTCAAGCATATCCGTACACAAAGAAACTTTCTGGTCCAGACGGAAGAGCAATACATTTTTATTCACGATGCCCTGCAGGAGGCGATAGAAAGCGGCGAGACTAATATCAACTCCAACAACTTAATGAAGCATATTCAAGATATGCTGTGCCCATCGAATAACAAGACTGACGCATGGAATAACATAGAAGCTCAATATAAGGTTAATGATTTAATTTTTGAAACTGAATTATATAATATGTAATCATGAATATTAAATCATCAATTTATTATTTATCATTAGCTGGTAACGTCATGGAAACCTAAGGATTTCAATCTTGTGTCCGCTACCAAAGCCTGCAATATTCACAAAAATCGTAATATGGACATCATTCCCATCGAAAATGCGCGTGTTCATTTAACGCCAAAACCTGGTGTCGATGGAAGCGACTACATAAATGCCACATGGGTTTCAGGTAAATAATATGGCGTACCTTCTTACTAATAATACGTTTAATGTCTTACTGCAAATGAAATGAAAATAACATGCATTATTTCTAGGTTTTCAACGCAATCGCGAGTTTATTATAACACAACATCCAATGGAGGACACCATAATGGAATTCTGGCAAATGATGTGGGACCACAATGCACAGACCATTGTCATGTTGACTCAATGCGATGAGGTACGCATTTCGAATAAAATTATTGTATTAATAATTGCATAAGAAGTAAAAAGATATATTTTGTAATAAAAATGTTCTCTAACAGGAATATCCAGAATTTTGGCCCGTCGAAGGTAAGGATCTCGAATCCGAAACATTCCGAGTACGACTTTGTGGAACGAAGGAGACCGTGAACGGGACTCTTCTATTAGAAGTCGCGGTTCGATCGCTGCAAGATGATTATGAACTCAGCGCCAGGATCGTTCAAGCACCATCGAATCAGAATGGTCTATGGCCGCATAATAACAATCCAAAGACTTTTGTCAGCATCATCCAAGACTTTCATCGAGATTATCAGAATGGTCCTATTGTTGTAATGGACAGGTACTTGAAAATATCATTTTTGTTAATTAACAGCGATGATACAAATAATTAATTGAACAAATACAACTCACATATTATTACTTAATTCAGGTATGGTGGGGTCGAGGCTGCGCTCTTTGTTCTATTGACTACGTTAAATAAACAGTTGGAATTCGAACAAAGTGCCGATATTTACATGTTTGCAAAGCTGCTTTATATGAAACGACCTGGCGTTTTCCGCTCACAGGTACATTTCAAATATGTCAAATCTTTATGCAACTTTAATCATACTTGTGGTAAAACACTTATCCTCATAAATTATTTATTCTTTGCAGGAGGATTATGTATTGCTGTATCAATGCTTGGAATCCATGTTATCGACGAAAGGCCGTGCGGATCCTGATTTGTATGCCATGGCGAATGGACACGTTGCCTCACTGAATGACCCGAACGAGATCAGGTCGGCCTCATCGCTCCAACATATGCCGATAGATTATCCATCTAAGTCATCCGTCATTCGCGAATACGCCACTGTAGAAGTCAGTTCCGAATACCTATCCGATTACACCATTCCCATCCGCGTGGATCACCCGATTGAGTCATCCAGCAGCCGTGGGAGCGAACCCTGCCTCTCCTCCCACGGCGGCAGCAATGATCATGTAGTATCACCATCAGAGAAAAGCATGGTGGTGTCACAGAGAAACATTAGCTATCATAATCATCCACAATCTGGCGTATCCGTAATGGTTGATGCTAACGGTTATATCACAAATGGCAGCATGCGTGTACCCTCCGACAATATGGAGCCTAGTTGCAAGATGATGCCACAATGATGCCGGCCTATCTTCGGTTGCAGCGCACCCTCGCGAAGGTCAGCCCCGCTGTAATCGAAACTTCCTGAAAGGCTGGAAGTTTAATCTTGACCTGGTAAGTGTCGGCCAAATACATAAAATGTCTTGCACGTAATATATAATATTGAGAGAGAAAAATATTTTTTCCCAAACAGACTGATCTTTGCATTGCGAAGGAGGTGATAGTTCTCATCCAAGGGATAGCTGAAAGATCTTCGAACGGATTTCTTAGTGTATATAGAGCTAAACGTGAATGTTAAACGTGAAAGATTATGAATTTTGATAAGAAAAGCCTATTTCCGGCGTCGCGAGAGCGGACAGTGCCAAACAAAAAGACAAAATTGCCGCCGATGTATGCCGAATGGGTGACATTTATCTTATCCGTCGCGTAAGTTTATGCTGTTCAATCGATATGTATATATTATATATAATTATATATAATTATTGACACACACAACACACACGCGTGCGCGCGCGTCTGCATAGTCACATGCGTAAATAAATATGCATATACATAAGTGCACACGTACATGCTATATATAATAAGATATATATGTACGGGATGTGTGTATATGTGTATGTGTGTCTATGTGCATATGTCGAATATCCGACAGCTTCGAGTTGCCAAAGAATCATCACGATAGCTTAATTGTTAGAATGATACTACCGTGGATGAGTGTGTACATGTACATGTACATATATATATACGTACACACGTGTATCTAATTATTCTATGTGTATAGTTTATTATATTCACGAGAATGCGTCGTCAAGATGAAATCTTTCGCATATACAGAAACACAATCGTCGCGCATAACTAAACTAATTTATAAGCATCTGCCCTCTCTCTCGTCTTATTGATCCATTCGATTTGGTCCAGCCCCAAATGTTGGCCGCGCGATATGCACAGCTTATCGTACTGTTACTGCCATTTAGGAAAGATAATCGACGATTTGCCGAAAGCGTTAATTGTTAATTCGTAAAATTAAGTTTGGTCGTGTAATTTCTCACGTAAGATCGCTCAATGCATACAATACATATATATACATATATATATATATGCGAATCAAATCAAAACTATTACATCGTAACTACAACGTATCGATTAACTCGCACCATCCAAATGATATTCATAAAAGAATTGAACGCACAACTTCATAGAAGATGGTTTTTAATAAAATATCTAATATGCTAAGAGACCTTTCTATGAAAAATGGCGCGAATTCTACAGATGCCATAAGTCTTTCATGAAGAAAATAGAAGCCGATACTATCACTGGCGAAATTTCAAAACATTGTCGACAAAAAACACATTGATTCACATTGTATAGCTTGTATTTTTCTTTAATTAAAAATATGATATAATAACTTTCTTACGGTGATGACAATCGCAATATTTTAATAATTATATATATAATTTGCCGTTATTTATGTATTTTATATAGAAAAGAATCGCGCGCGTGTGGAACAAACCCCAAGGTAAAATGACGTTTTTAAATGTGTGCACAGTATTTGCATTTTTTATATTATACGTATTGATATTATTCTATATGAAAGCATAAACAATCACAGCTTATTGAAAAAAATTGAAAAATCTATCTTGTAAATGTATCGATATTTAAGTAAATGACTGATTATGCATTCTCGTAAAATTCGTAATGCTTATTAATGTCATTCACACAATGTTAATTTGTATAAACAATGCCTGTACGAAAACTGACTCATATGTATATAGCGTGCACATATTTGTAAAATAATATTCACTTTGTTTTATTAAATTTTTAAATTTGTTTACTAATAATTAATAAGCTAAGAGCTAAGTTAACGACAAGATGAAAGATTCAACACAGAGAAATTGACAAGTCGTTTTTATTATTTTATCGTATTGTATTAATTTCTAGAAGTGTGTCTATTGATTATTACAACATAAAACATGCAGTTAGATATTTTATGAGGTGTACGTTCCGTCGCTTGTGGCCTAATTCTATAGTACAAATTAGATTCTACGTTTGAACAACTCATTTAGTTAATGAACAATTAAGTGCAAGAAACTTTCAAACCGGTTCATTTCAACTTGCCGAAATTATATTACAATTAAGTCATTTTATACATAATTCTAATAATTACTACAAACATTAGTTTACATTATAACGAATGACATTCTTCCGTTTTTAATATTGTGAGGTAAAAGAAAGAAAAATGTAATAAACCATTTTGGTGTTTCCTCACGAGTATATATTCGGCAGATTTATTTTATTACATGCTATTACGCATATTATTGCGAAGATTAAAATTGCTCTTCTGAATCGCCCCTTTAGATAAGCTGCTTTAATAAAGCCATTGAACGAAAGGGAGAGAGCAGAGGCAACGAATACAGAATGAAATCGAAATGTACATAAAAGAAAGAGAGAAAGACATATGTTTTGTTGATCAGTCCGCTGTGATTAATTATGAGAAAATGGTACATGTGCTCGTTGGAGAAGATTGCGTTACCATGGATATACGTGAATATAGCGTCATGATTAAAAATGTTCATGTAAGCGTGTTGTAAGACTGATTGTGTTGTTCGTGAAAATCAGAATGAAAATCAATTCTCGACCCGCGTTCACTTGCGTTAGAATCGTGGCAATCACGATCGCGAGAGCGTAAAACAGATTTTTCGAGAAAGGGATAGCACCACGCGCGATATCGATACTCCTTTCTCATAGAGTTACACTTTTAAGAATCACGAAGTAACGCCGAAATATAACAAGACGCTTGTGCAACGCGAATAATGCAAGCATTTTCTGGAATGGATCGAAAATGTAAATCGATCTTCGAGATCCCGAGTATTGATCTTATGTACATCCGATTAAATCACAATCAAGTCTCGATTAATCACCAATTTATAAGTACGCGAACGGAACACCTATCGACTATCGTCTATAGCTATAGATATTATTATATATGTAAACAAACGTGTCTTTTAATTAATGCCGTAATAATTTAAGTCATCGAAAGAAACAAAAGCGAGAAACGATATTATATATATACATATATATATATATATATATATACACGTACATATACACATATACACACAAAAATACACGAATAAGCTACACTGAAAGAATGCATACACACCTGATGGACAACAGCTCACACAAACACGGACTCGTCGCGCTAATAATTGTATGAAAAGAAAAAAATATATTATATATAAATATTTATGATATATGAAAATGTGGAGGGAATCGGAGAGAATAAGAGATAATTGTGAATGCGTGACGGACGAGGAATCGTTTAATCTTGAGATCGGACATACAGAGACAATGCCATGTAGAAGGGATAGTGCTCGAATTCCGTAAATGATTTGTACAGCTAGCGGCAAGAGCGAATATCTCGTGCAAAGCGGACAAAGACGCGATCTATATACTGTATTTTACGATATTACACGGTTATATATGCATGTACCTATACACGGATAACACAAAATAGACGTCTAATGAGGTATGAATGGCCGTCGAGAGACAAGGCGATCGTCGAGAAACGCGATCGCCCGTATATAATTCGATGATAAAATAGGTGGTGTGTATAGATAAAAGTAGACTCTAGTCAACATAATATTTGTAAGACGACACATACACACATCTCGTTCGTTTTACACACCGTTAGTTCGCATCTAATTCTCTTGGCCTGTTTGTTTCATTTTTTTCTTTTCACTACGATATGGTATCGACAAGATACAGAAAGAGAAAGAAAAAAAGACGGTCAACGCGTGATTGCACTTTCCATCGTTTGTCCACCGAATGATTATAATAAAATAGCTGTGCTATGAGAGATATATGGAAAATGAAGGAAAGGAGCACTTTTTTTTATTAAATTGTCACTTTGAAACGTCTATACGGGAATTGTTTCGTCGATATATTGTAGATAATTTCTAACATTATTGAATAGAACGAACAAAAGCGATCAAACTTCACAGCATCCGTCGCAGGGATTTTTTTTCTTACACGCATGATATGATAAAGACTTGCGATCTGTGCGTAACTATAGCATTCGCATGGACCATACGTGGAAGAAAGGAAAACGGTCCGAAAGTTTTATATTATTATTATATTTATATATATATACACACACGCATATATATGTATGTATGTATATATGTATTTTATTAAGTGACAAAATCGGAAACAAATCGAGCGCGGTCAATATTCAGAGTCTGTTATATGAGATAAAAGGATCTGGAGGATATGTAGAAATGGATGTATCAAAAGAGAATGTATATGTCGAATGCCTACTCGAAATTTCTCAATAGACAACCGTGAAAAATCACACTCACGAGTATTCGTTCAATTGTTTCGCGTATATGCATAAGTTGCCGCAGTGTGTCTACGACTTTATAATTATTTGTAATTGCGAATCGTCGCAGCACGTATACAGGAAACTCCTGTTCGAACATACGGCACTACGGCCTACACTAACTGTAAAAAAAAAGAGAGAAGAAGCTCTTTATACATATATTCGCACACAATGTACTAACAATTCACGAGCGATCCGCCGGTTTTCGTCGAAACCGACCAGCGTACGAAAGCTGTAGCGGTTCGAAAAAAAATTAGGAAGTTAGCGAGAGAGTCTCGAGGGACAAGGGGTATCATGAATCCGCGCCATGCCCAATTAATATCCGACGAATACGAGAAAAACGAAGCCGATATATAAAACGACAGTCGAGACTGCCAAACGTATCTACAATTCTTCTTTTCTCTTTTTCCTTAACTCTTTCGCTACGCGGAAAAGAATTTCAATGGCGTATATTTTATATGTTGATAATATTTCCAATGTATTTTAGAAACGTCTATAGTCAAAGTATTTTACAAAAGTCTATAGAAAGAGAGATTTTCTGAGAGAAATTCGATAATTAGAGATAATTCAAATTTCCTATTTACATATTGGAAATGTGTAGAAGGTATCAAGTCAAATATAACAATCGAAAAAAAAAAAATAAGTCATTTATAGTTATTAAACCAATATGTATTTCTGTCTTTATATAAAAAAAAAAAAAAAACTATATTATTTCTTCCTGAAAATGCGCAAGAATAACACAGATATCATTTCTGCATCAGAATTGCGAAATCGATGGAACATTACTAGTAAGGTTTATGGCCTTGCATCAGTAGCGAAAGAGTTAATCTCCGAGCATAGCGACCGCACTGCCTTCGATAGAATTTTTAACAAACCGAAATCTGATGACCGACCATCAATCGAGGATAAAAAGAATAATTTGCGTCAACGAGACGAGCCGCGTGGCATATTTAAAACGAAGCACGAATGAAATAAAATCAAACAGTTCTGTTTCTCCTGTTCCTACGACGTCACGCGAATCGTCTTCCTATCGACGCGACTCTCGTTATTAATTATAAATCGTTAAGCACTAATGACACACGCGTCAATGAGTCACCAAGGACGTAAAGAATGCTGGTCTACAAATGCGGTTCTCATCAATTTCTATTGCTCGACGTACAGTACGTGTCTCAACGAACACACACACAGAGAAATTTTAGAGAAGTTTAAACGGATATAATGATTGCGACATCAGTCATTATGTGCGATAGTATTACTCGTTTTTTTAACTGTACGCTTCATTCGAGAAGAATTGTCCGTGCTTAAGAACATATACGTCTAATAAATAGTTTGCGAGAAATTTGCAACTGGATCAAATTAGCCAAGTTTCACTCACCAGCGAATTCCGATCTGTTTATTTCGGTTGCTTCTTGAGAAATGCAATTATCGACGATCAATGAATGTTAAGCTAGCACGAAATATTCATTGCATCCTATTTCGAACATTTTGACAATTATTTTGAGTTTACATATTCGTTTTATTTCTTTAAATCAAAGTGGATTGATAATATTTACATTTTACAGAAATGTTTCGTTAATTTTGCATGCAAAAATAATGCTTACAATTGCAATAACACATTGTGATATTTACACTAGAAACATTTTCATTGTATGAAATAACTATAAAATTTCCCTTAAATATACACATAAAATGTGCGAAAACTGCCACGATTAAATAAAAAATATGCATATTACTAATAAGCACGTTGCGTAAAGGTAGAAACCAATATCTCTAGGAATAATAATTAGGATTCGTGTGCGATAATCACGATTATAATAATATACTTCCTACTTCAATTACGTACGATTTTCTTGTTTTATTAACTTTAAAACACATTTAAAGTCACGATATGTTGGCGGAAATTAATGACGATTATTCCAATAAATCCGTAAATGTATTTTTGTTGAAAATTCGCAGAATTTTAGATGTGTTTAAATGCAAGAAACATTATGCGGGAATAAGGTGAAGGTGTAAGATACTTCATTCTTTTTTTTTTTGCAAAAATAAGTCTTTATTTGTAAACGAACTCTTTGGCAGTAGACACTTTTTAAAAGACAAACATCCAGAGATCTAGATCCATAGAGCTGACGCTCTTGTCTGGCAATCGCATTGAGATGTATGGCGAGAAAATCGTAACTTACTTGACTTAATAACATTCATGCTTTGGCAATGTTTCGCTTATTCTGAGAATCTTTCGTTTTTTGGTTTTTTCTTTTTTTTATTTTTGGTTTCCATATTTGATTAAAACACTTAGACGGTGATAGTGAAATCCTTGGGCGATTTGGAGAGCGAGCTATTCGAGTGGAGACCAGTCGACCGTTTTCTATGCAACTTGAGCTTCATGTCGATGTCACACTCGGCTTCACTGGTCTCGTGAACGTCCGTGAAACCGCTCGGTGGCTTCAATTCCAACGTAGACAGCTCGCTGCCCCAATCGTCGTCCCTTCTCATCATTCTGAACGTGCCCGCCGGCTCCTCCAGGAGACAGAGCGACTCGACGGACTTTCTGGTGCTCGGCTCCTTCTCCAGCCTGTCGTAGGAACCAGGACGCACCGGATGACTCGGCGACGCTCCTCGCGAGTACGAATGCACTCCGGACTCCGACAGCTTCAGCACCGGTCGCAGTATACCTGGAATGCGACCGTCGATCGCGGCGTCTATCGCGCCGCGACTCCTGCGAAAAATCAATTGTGTCATTTACAGATAGGAAAAGTAGCAGTTTGAAAGAACCGAACTTGCGCGAGAATTATTAAACTGATTATATAAATTACTTAACGAACGGAGAGTATGATTGATTAAGTAATTATATCGAAAAATTTATTTATCAAAACGTGACTTAAACACGAAAGAAGAATAATGGCCCGTAATGAGGATTAATTTTACTCATAAATAATTCTTTTGTCGCGACGTATATATCTCTTATTCGACGCTCAATCGACGATTATTTTTTACCTTTGCTTTTCGAGCCTCGGGAAAGTCTTCCTCTCAGAAATTGGTGACGGCTCGGTTGATGTACTTGATTCGTGCGTGTGGTACAGCACATCTGGAAAGTACGTACGCGAGACGACGTTGACACGGTAGATAATTAGTGGCTGCGCACTGGATTACATGATGGGCCGCGCGAGCACGCGGCCCGGACACAGAAAACTGAATACTAACTTACTATGATGAACCGGTCGCTGCACCAGGGCGAGTCGTTGTTGATTGACAGAGTTGGGTCCCGGCGAACGGGCCATTATCGACGTCGGACCGGAGTCGTCCAGATGATTCGACGACTCGGTACGGCTACTAGTACCGACCTCCGTGTCGCTGTCTGAGCCCAGCGTGTCGTATTCCTCCGATTCCGATTTAAACGATTTCGATTTGCGTCGCGCTCGACCTCGTACCTTCGTGTATTGGTCCACGTCGCACTGCAATCGATTTGTACCGCATGAGATTTTTCGCGAGAGAGATAGGAAATACGAGAGATGATTGATAACATTCTTACAAAAGATGTTTTCAAAGCTTTTAAATTTCAAGTACATTACAATTCTTATTATATGATCGAAATATTACGGAATATAGGTTGGAAATTAATTGATCCGAAATATCTGCTCCAATTAATTAAAAAAGGATATTCTTACCAATAAGTCATGTGTACAGAACATTAAATATTCTTATTCTTTTAGCTTCATTAATATTTCGACACTGGTATCTATATCATGTCGTATTACTTCGAACTGTAATTAGATAATCGATATCCTGATGATTCTAATTTTAAGTTCCGCACTGTATAATCTTATTAATGCAAGGAAAGAGTAATTACTCCTATTGCATTATATAACTTTGTAATGAGATTACTTGGTGGTAATTTTATCGGAACAATCGCGCTATATAGTTAAGGAATTTTTTATCATCTCGGATGTCGCAATCTACGAAGGGAACTCGTAAGATGGATCGTTGTGAGAAGTAAACGTACTTGGGCACCTTGCAGCATCGTCTCGCTGCGTTCGTAGAAGAACGCTTGTCTCATGGGATTCGCCGAAAGATTTTCCTGCTCGGGCAGATTGAAGGTGGCATACGGATAAATATCTTCCGAATACTCGGGTATTCGTTCCAGGGCGCTCACCTCACGACAAGGTGATTGTTGTCCCGGTTTTCTCACAGTGGCATAGTACTGTTCCCTCTGTTCCATGTTGTGTTTGTTGTCCAAAGCTGCCTGTGTTTGCGAGCTCGGATCGTTCGCGCCTCCGGATCCCTCTGGATCTAAAAACGATGCATTCGTGTTGACAGATACTTGTACGATACGGTACTCTCATACATGTATACATACATAAATCTAATTTAAAATGTTATATATATATATATATATATATATATATATATATAGATTTATATATAACATATTGAAAAAAAAAATACATAATAAAATCCATGCGAATTAATCAATATAATATACGAAAGCAAGGATCGCATATCGGGCAAAAGGATGCGAGACAAAAACGGGACAAGACGAGACAGCAGAAAATAATAACGATTAACGTAACTTGTTGTTGCACATCATGAATTTCCAAATGGCGAGGTAAATGCTACAGAAGCTAGAAGCAGATACACCAATTAAATGGAGAATACGCAAACGGAGACGTGTAATATTATCCGCTACCGAATTGAAATACATACACCAGCTTACAAAACGACAAAGGGACTAATTTCAATAAGAAGATCAGTGCAGAAATTAATGAGTCTTGAATATATACATAGAAAAACCCATAATATATAATGTATAAATAGTCAAAAGTACTACAAAGTTGATGACGCGAAATCCAGAAATTCAAAGACGTACAAGCATAGCGATTATTACATAGAACATAACATAACAATATCTTTATATTGCTATTATATACATTTAACATTAATATTTACACACACATTTATATATTTATAATATTATATGTATAACAGTTTAAATAACAAAAGCATAAAATAAATGAAAATTAAATTAATAGATAAAAAACTAGAAACCTATAATACTTATGTGTGTGTTATAGATCAATACGAGAAATCAAGATTCGCTTTAACAACTTTATTGTATAATTAAACCCTTTAAATTAAATTATTTGCAATCTCCTGATGATGGATAATTAATAGGAACCCAATATTCATCACATCATGGAAACATTATATAATTACAATACTTATAAAGCATCGTACATATATATTGCATCCGTTGCAAATAAAATTTGCATTTATTAAATATTATATTTTATTAAATGAAATCCTTCAAATTGAGATCATTAATATGAGAATTCTTTTTCGGAATATTTTAAAAATAAAGCGCTTAAATATATATATATAAATATAAGCTTTGTTTTTAAATTATTTTCATATATATATGAAATTAATAATATTTCATGTATAGGAAAGAATATAAGAGAGAAAGAGGAAAAAGCAGAATTATTTTTATAAAATAAACTATTTTAATATAAAATATAAGAAAAAAATAGAAAAATGGAAATATGTAATGGAAAAATATTAATTGTAAAATAAAACGCTACATATAAAATAGTAAATAACAAAATAGTAAAACACAATTTTTCCAATGATATACAGAGTAAATATCGCTCGTACACTTACTCAATATGCCAATATTTCTTGAAAGTTATGTAATATAGCGGGAGATGTTCTCGTTTTAGTAACAAACGACTATTTGAAGTAACGACTCTCTGCGTGATTCGTTTATGAAGTTTTTAATTAAACCAAACGCTCGCGGCGGATATCGCGAACCGCTGCTGTTGACATTGTACCTGATATCGAGAGTAGTTGACGAAAAACTAAAACATCGAGACTATTCCACTACCTCTCTCTGTTCCAATTCGCGCCAGAATCGTTACAATGTGTACCAAGTGAGATACACGAAAATAAACGGTATCCGAGAGATTTTTTTTAAGGGAGAACCCGAACTCCATAGCCGAAATCCGTATTGCCTCGCTCGAAGCGTATGTTTGCGACGTAAATTGATTATAGCGGAGATCGATAGGCTCGTACTCACGTGTCTTGAGGCAAAAACACACCCCGGCGATCGCCAACATGACGGCCAGAACCGAGATGACGCTGGGCGCCAAGACATGCGCGTCGAGATAGAGCGGAGTAGTCTCGTTCTCCTGTGGGTGATCCTCGTGCAAATGATTGTTTCCGTTCGGTGACAGCGTACTGAACAGATACTCAGCCTGGATGGAACCGGCATTGTTGTAAGCAGTCACACGAAGCTCGTAACTGGTGCCACTCTCTAGATCCATGATAGGAAATTTCGACTGCGGCGGAACATTATTCGATACTGCAATATATATTGATAGATATCATTAATAACTGGTATAAGAAAGAGAAGGAAAAAAGGCGGAATGCGTATTTAAAATCAAAGCATGTAATAATAATTTCTTATAAAATGTTTTTTAATTATTTTTAATTTTCAAATTAATAAGTCTTGAAATAATAAACTTGTATTAAATAATTATTATCGCGATTGATATTTTATACCATGCGCATAATTGAAAGAATCAACACAGTCAGTACTTTTCTGATTAGGAGAAACTTTCTAGATATCGACGTTGGAATAAATACGGGAGGATCAACGTCATGTTTTCGTGAATTATCGAGCGCTACTTCTTCGCTTCGTGACTTCAAGTTTCCGAAGAGTTGTAGGTTCTTACCGAGCAGCCAATCCCCGGGCAGCCTCCTATATTCTACGACGAAGTAGGTCAACGGGCAGCCGCCGTCTTGCCAAGCCGCCAACTCCAGAATAACGAACGTCTGATTCGGCTTGACGAAGTGATACTTCGGCGGCGGGACGGGCTTGGAGCCGTTCGTCTTGGCTGTCTGTATGTCGCTTGCACTACCGCTTCCGATCCTATTGAAGGCAGCGAGCGTGAACTGGTAACGCGTGCCGCATTGCAAACCCTCGAGTAGGTGCGTGCTCGCACGACGGTCCAACATGACCTCCTCCCATTCGGCGAATTCCTTACGGTAAGCCAGGAGGAATCCCTTAATGGGCGAGCCACCGTTGTCACCTTGCTTCCATTGTAACTGGATGGCGTCGGTCGTTGTACCGGTCGCCAGCAGAGTCGGCGACGTTGGCGGTACTATGTGCGTAAAGTTTACCAATTAGAACTTGGCTCGTGTGCCGTTCAGAGAGACTGGAGCGAAATATCACCCGACACACTACTCGTTCTACGTGAGATACATTTCTCGTTCTCTCGCGCGCGGATAAGAATTCATAGGAATTATTCCATAGTTGTTTCGTAACTTTGCTCTCGCGAGTTTATGCAGAAGTGCAGCTCGAAGAAAGGGAGAGTGTGTGTGACTTCAAAATTACAATTTTTAAAGATATTATATAATTCCAAGTCGAAATATTTTCGCGCGGAAAAGGTCTTACCTATTTCCTTAACGAATTAGAATTTAATAATTAAATAATTAAATATAATTTTATAACAACATCTGTAACCAGAGAATATCTTAATGATTTCGTTTACGCGACCTACCCTGTATGTGCAGCGTATACGTAATTTCATCTGTGCCGAGTGAATTCTTCACGTGACACGAATAGTTGTCTTCGTGACTTCTCTGCACGTTTCTCAGAGTCAAAGTGTTCTCTGGTCCAATCGGGTGCAATCTGTAAAACGCGTCTCGTCAATGACATACGCTTCATCCACCGATTCCGCTCTACACAAATTCGCCGTTACACTTACTTTGACTGTAATTTCATGTCGGCACGTCGCCACTCGACGGTTGGATGAGGATTGCCGACGACGAGGCAAGCCATATTAACGTCCACTCGCCACGGAACCACGATGGGCACGCCGAATGATATTATGGCAGCTGGAACTAATTAAAGTACCCTGGTTACGAGTTTCCATTCGTGTGCCATTTACGCGCTATAATATCCTTTCGCAAATGCAAGGATATTATCGAAAGATCGCGAATACCACGCTTATTAATCGAAATATATTCCACCTCGAAAAGTTAGAGATTTTCCTCTATGCAGCAAATACTATCATCTGGCAAAGCTGTACTTTGCTCGGATATTTGATTTGCATTTCATAGACGAGAGCCATATAGTTTTCTCGAAGAACTTTGATAAAGAACTCGATTTGAGAAACAAAATCTCTGACGCTCGGCAAAGTTTTACGAAAGGAGAGCAAAGAAATTTTTCGACAATTGAGAACTTCGAGACCGGCTTACCGGTGGTGCTAGGCTGAAATTTGACAACCGGTGTGCTCGAGCCCTGACCGACCTTAGTCGAGGCCGTGACCCACGCCTCGTAAGACTCGTGCAGCTTCAAGTCTGTTGCCTCGTGATGTAGATTCTGAGCGGGCAGAGTGTTCTTGATGATCTTATCTTGGCCCTGCTCTAACATGCGAATGTAAACGGTGTAATGGGTGAGCAGTCCGTTCGGCCGTCGCGGTGGTAACCATGATATTATGACAGCGTTCTCGCCGCTCACCACCCACTTTATGCGTTCCGGTGCGTCGGGAACTATTAGCAGAATTATCATTTCTTCATTGGTGAGCATTTGTAAAGAAATCGTGCGTAAAAAAGACTAAGGCACGAGTTAATGAAACGTCATAGTATTTAGAACGATTCTTGCAATTATTATAAATTTATCTATACTTTTGTTTTTGAACCTTTCGCACGAATGTAATTTTAATTATAATTTTTTCGAGATACGCTTCATTTTTTAGTGTGCAGTATATTTTGCCATAACACTTTAAGCAAAAAAAAATTTATTTTCCGATATTAAAACTATCTAGCAGACTCTCGAGACTCATTTAAATGTTCTCTTTCATGAAGATAAAAGATCTTTTTTTATAATAAAACATTAACTACTATGCACGTTGAAAAAAAATTGATTCGTGCGTATTAAAACGATTTAGATTGCCACTTTACCGGTTTCCCCGGTGGTGCAGGACACGGGATTGCTCGCGACACCCTCGCCGGCCCTAGTGAAGGCGAGCACCTGCATCGTGTAGTTGGTGTACGGGCTGAGAGATTGCAAGAGCGTGCTCAGACCATGGCTAATTTTCGTCTCTCTACCGGTTTGCGAGTCTGAGGTGGCACCGCTCGCTGCCTCGTACAGTAGCTTGTATCCCTGCACGACCCCGTGAACTTTGTCGGAAGGAGGTAGTTTCCAGGTCACCTGGATGTTCTGACCATTCAGTGCAGCGCAGGCTACATTCTGCGGTGGCGCACTTGGAACTACATCAAATCGTACACCGTAAATCGCTATATCGCCCTGCTATATCTCCTTCAACATGTCGAAAAATACGATCTCGAATTTATGTTACTAATACAGTCTATCGAAACTTTTTTCAAACTTATATTCGCAGCACGATCAATCGAATCGCGAAAAATACCACGCGGAAAGTATGTAAACGTGTGGGAATTTCGACTTGTGGTTCGACCTAAAATATAAATAAATTCCCTGGAGGAGAGTTTACGTAGAACCCGATATAACAATAACAACTTTAATAAAAAAAATTATTATTATCGATATTTTGTAACATAGTTCATAGTTTGTGTATCGCGTAAAAGCTCGTTTCGTAAACCAATATTGCTACGCAAATAATTGCCATTCAGCATTATGCATTATATATGATATGGAATGTTTGTACATCGGCGCACTGTACACATGACAAACTTTAAATTATAATATTAATTTGTAATTTGAAACTTAATCTCGTCATTTGCAATTCTCAATTATATTTAATCCGTAATCAAAATGCAAAGAGGCCGCTTCAAAGCGGCACGCTGTAATTGCCTTGTTTAACGTGCCAAATATTTTCGTTAATTCAAAATTCTGCAAACTCGATAAATGGGGGGAAGCAAAAGAGAACTTTTCACTCACCGTCTTCGAATGTGTGCGCTGTCACAGGATCGGATCCCGGGCCGTCTCCTTTGCTATTGAACGCCTTTACCACTATGCTATATTGGGTGTATTTTCGCAGACCGGTTAGTCTATAATCGTGAGAACCATCCCCGTTTCCTGTGATTCCAACCCGCGTCGTGTTCGTTAATTGATCATCGCTTCTGAAATAAAAGCGTTAAGTACGGTTCGTTGAAGCGAGAAGATAACGTAAAGTACGAAGGCAATCGACAGCGCTAAAATCTAAACGTTGTATCAATTACGCGAATGAAAAATATGTCGAGAAAAAGCTGTGGAGATAGCGTCTAAATTATTTTCCGCGAAAAATCGCATTTAAAAAGAAATCTTAGATTTCATGGAGATATCATCCAGATGTCAGTTGAATAGCTACTCGTTACAAATAGTAGCGTATTACAAATATAAATATATTACGAGAAAAATTTTTTCTCTTATACATTCTTATTCAAACTTGATGCTAATTGTAAGTTTAAGAACGAGAAAGCTCTGGTATGAAAGTCGCTGTCGCCAAAGTTTACCGGAAATCGTTCTTATCGTTCGCATTTATTACGTTCCGCCGTCCGATTCTAGTATAATGGAGGAACTAACAATCTCGAAATTCAATGGAATATAACTACGAAGCTCGGACAAAAGATATTTTAAGAATTCATGGTGAAACTGAATCACCGTATAATCCAATTATACCGAAATGTCACAACGCAAACATTACCGTCATATTTCATTTAATAAGTTTTGTCGCAAAACGTTTTTATATTCGTAATATTCTTTTTTTTTTTGCAAATAAAATAAATGAATTTTACCAGGCAAAAAGTCTATTCTGAGAGGAAAAGCATTTAAAATGTGATAAGTCTCTTAAATGCAGAAATTGTGTCGCCAAATTTTTCTATTTCTCAATCTTGACGATAAATTTTGAAAAAACATGTTTGAAAAATTTTTATATTGCCATTTTTCTCGAAAATAACGCAATAACGTAGTAAAATTATGTATACGCTAACTATCTGCTTCGCAAAATTAAATTTAAATCTTTACTCGAAACAAAATTGTTACGAAATTGATATACTCTGGCATAAATATATAAATTTCGCTTTACAAATGACTCGGTCCGTGCAAATTCGCTGAATATACGCGGTCGCGCGTTATCTACGCAAACGAACGGATCATCGCAGTCATTGTTCGAGACTCGGAGCTTGATGATGAACGCTAAATGCCGCAAACTGCCGCGGCTCAAGAGCAGTAAGCAGATAATGATACCCGAGATTGGTGTAGCCGATGATGTATCCGAGTAGTTCGCCGTTCCACAGGGATCGATCCGGCGGTTGCCACGTGATCTTGAGCTGCTGCGGGCCCAGGGGCTCCACGGAGACATGTCTGGGCGGTCCACCGGGTACTTCGCCGTCCGTTTGCACCTGTTTCGAAAATTTCGAGACGCCACCCACGGCGCACGTGAAAAAGAAACAACAGTCCGTCTGACGTTAACGCGCGTAAATGACGTTCGTGATAATGTGAAAGTTTTCTTTCTGATCATGCTTTGTTTCTTTTTTTTTTGTTTTGTTTTTCGACAATGTTTGATACTGACATGAAGGATGTCGCTTGGCGCTGATGTTCCAAGATGATTTTCCGCAAGCACTCGAAAGTGGTAGGTAGTCGCGGGTTTTAGGGACGATACTCGAGCGACCGTGTTGTCCCCGGCTACCAGCTTCTGCGTGTTGTGCTCATGCCAAACGTCTTTCCAGCAAAAGGCAACAACGCTTAGATGGATGCAGTACGATCTCTTAAGCGTAAACGCGAGTCTCGCGAGGCGAGATGTATCTTACGTGCGTGAAAATCCGGACGTTTCGACGCGCGATTACCTCTCGATTACGCATCTCGCTCCGAGAAAGGTAGGATAAATCTATCTCGATTCTCTCGTGCATCTGTGGCGTGGCACGTAGTTTAATAGTTCGCAGTTGGCCGCAAAAGACGGATCGTGTGTAACGAGCGAACAAATCGATCAAGCGAATGACGCTTTAATGGAGGATGAATGCTCTGTACAGACTCGCGCGAAGATAACGAGCGATAAATATCAAACGCGTATGCTAATCGGATATATGTGCCGAGTTGAAAATTAACTCGAAACTCTGTTACTCTCTCGCGGCGCGCGAGCGTCATCTCGAATGCAGATTATCTCTCGTTAAGTATCTTAGTTTTAATCCGTAATCACAACAACGCGCGCGATGCGAGGCCCTTTCGAGGGCCGCTATGAATACACGGATATTAAAATTTATCCGCGATGTGTGTCAGGATTGTAATGCGCGCGGTTTAGACCTCGCGCGGAATAAATTATTGCAAACATCGAGAGTAAATTCGAATTCATCATCGTTTGACCGGCACTCTCGGAAATCTCGATCCTCGCGAGACTCGATTTTGAGTAAGAGCGATAATAATTCTCGACGGTGCTTGCCTCAAGAACATGTTTTATGCGCGTTAACACCACGACGCTTCCATGCCCCTTCGTGCGTTAAGTTCGATAATTTAACACCGGCGGGAAGACTCGAGTCGATTAGGCGTAAATGAGGACATCCAAAGTTAACGAGCGGCCAGGGCAAGGGGCGTTTCAAAGAGAAGTTTGTGGCACGAAAATAGGGCGAGCGAAAGGGGAAGATGGTCGGTAGTCGAGAAGAGGAAGGCGCGAGGGAGGAAAGAAGGAGAGTGTAAAACAAAGACGCGGAACGGGAAGATTCGCAAACGACTTTACAGAAAACTTTGACTTAGCTGTCGTAATGAAAACCGCCAACCTCGGAGATACCCAATGTATATGTATATAGCCATTTCCCTCCAGAAAATAAAGCGACTCCTTTACATCACAAAGAAATATTTCACGATGCACACGTGTTATCCCACACGTAGTACTAATTGCTTAATTTAATAATTATAATTTTTTTACTTTCTATGCCAGGACTCTAAAGGCTCAAAAATATATAAATAAATGTATATAAAATAAAAAAAGAATATTACACATATATATAAAAGCGATTTTATAATACATATAAATATGAATTTAATTCAAATATTTTCGTATTGAGAAAAATATCTTGCACAAAATATCAGAAAGCTTGACCGCCAATGGAAACGTAACAGCTGATAGCCCTTTTGTAAAGAAATTGATCAGCGAGAAACGTAAATCGTACGCTTTCGAAGGCATGCACGCGGAAGAACATCAAAGAACGAAATTGTTCCTGCGGTCGTGTATACGGGTATATGAATCGCGAACAAATTCGTGGTGCTGTTATATGTATGGAATCAACTCGAGGTGAGTTTACGAGAGACACGACAATGTAATTACCATTGCTCTTGACAGTCGCAACTCATGCGACAGACTGCATCGCATTACGTTGCACGCGTGCATCTTGGAGCGACGTTACAAAATAGCATATTATGAGAGAAAATATTCAGCTCGTATTTGCTGGAATTATTCCATAGAATAAAATGTTTTAATAAAATGCATTTTTCGTTAAACAATGCTCGTTGCATCCCGTATCAATAAAATTAATCTGATTAATATCTTTTCATTTCCAAATCATAGATAAGATTCTTAAGCATGTGCATTTTTATATATATCTCTATTAATAAATACATTAATGCAACATTTATACTTTATTTCGTACTTGAAAAGTTATGGTATGGTATTTTCTCTCTTTATTCCCTCTTTAATATCAACTTTACAACAAGCTATTTTGATATCGCAAATTATTTTCTACGCGTATTTTATTACATTCTTCGCTAAAATATTTCGAATAAATTAGAGAGTTAAATATTTCATCCACTAGACGTTCACATTCCGGATAGACACGCATTCCGCGCGATTGAATTATTACTTATTAATGAGAAACATATTACGCTATTCGTGTTAATGGAATTTCGATCGCTTCGACATGAATTTATTTGAACATCGACTGATGGCGACTATGCTGATGGAGGGAGAAATGGAAACGGGGTCCTGCGAAAGGCCATGAAGTAAATCCAAAATAAATCCTAAACGAATAGCGGGTCATGTGGAGCGACGTCGAAGGATAAATGATTAATGATTCTCGTCCGACAGGATAAAAGCCGCGGCGCGCTATCGCAAATAACGGTTTTGCGGAAGACATCGTAGTGTTAACTTTAACGGCCAATATGATATCCGCGCAGATGATAGAGATGCCAGGCGCAATGTGAATACGCGCGTATACCACGACATATATAATGACGATGGATCGAGAATGTAATGGGGCGCAATATACAGCGAACATCGATATTTTTTTGCAACCTCTATTTCTTTTATTTTCTCTCCGATCCAATTATCGTTTGAGCAAGCACCAGAAAAGTCTGGTATTATTTTTAGCCAATACGCAGCGTTATAACATCGCGATATTTACATCTGTCATTGGCCGATTAATCGCGTACCTACGGTAAATAGAAAATTATCCAAATATTTTACATCTTTTCTGTATTATTTACGCGTATCCTCGCTCGTATCGAGCGGCCTAGATCAAAGCGCGCTTCAATTTAGATTAAAATTTTAATTTTGAAACTTTAAATTTCGTAAACAAAGCTCGCGATTTTAAAGCATTTACCGCCACATCATCCGTATAATAACGATACGATTTTCTTCGAGAATTGTACAATTTGCATAAAAGGTGAGATTTTATTTTTCACTGAATTAATTTATATTCACCGCTTATAAAAAGTGATTTATACAGATTAAAAGTAATTATATTTGCATACGAAGACTTCAAAGAAATGCAATATCATTTGACATTCTCAATAATGTTTATTTAATGTTGTTAAATCGCAATTTTGGGGAAATCCATATTTCACATATATTTCAGACGCGTTCAAGAATATAGAATTTAATTATAAAAAATGCGGAGATATCGATATTAATTTCTGTCGTATTCGTTTATGTAATTATGTCAATTTCACTGTCACACAATCGATGGAACGTAAATATTAAATGTGAAAATAGCTTGTGAAAATTAATTTTCAAAGATTATACAATAAGCGATGTTATTCCGAGCAGTTTGTATACGGTTGATGTCGCAATAAAAACACGTTAAAGAATCCATTGACCAGGAAATACATAAATTTATAACGAGGTACTGTCTCGCAGCTTTCAATCGATCGATCGCGCGCATTCACCGAAAAAAAGAAAGGAGAAGGGAAGTCTGTACCTTGCGCCTCCTTATATTGCACAATATAGTTGGTGATTGGTGCACTGGCGTGGTTCACGTCGCGATCGTTCGCAGGTGAAGACCAGGCCAGCAGAATTGACCGGCTGCCCTGCTCGGCCACGTGGAGATTACGTGGGAAATCGGGCGGCTCCTGCACGAGCAGGTGGATTGTTGCCTTGTCCTGACCGTAAGCGTTCGCGGCTGTACAGATGTAGTCGCCGCGGTCCATGTGGCTCGCCTGGACGATCCGCAGCTCGGTGGTGACGCGTCCCGATGCGTCCGCTGTATTGTCCACCGCGTACCTGTATCCGGGGAACCCCCGAGATGAGCGGTTACGTGATTAATCGATACGCGTGTCGGTCGGGACGATTGCAAAATTTTCCAGACACTTTACTTTAAAGATGCAAAGTTTTATATTTCAAACGCAAAATTACATTTCATATATGGTAAAAGGTTCTTTCACTGTGTCTCACGTTTTCGCTTTACTTTAGATTCAAGAAAGATTCATAAAAATACTAATTCTGTTTGCTAAATTTTAATAAACTGTATATGTATGTGTAACTTATATTTTTTCATTTATTTTTTTCCCTTTATGATAATAATTTATTCTTGTTCCAGCATCAAAGTATAATAGCAATAATGATCAATAAAAATAGCAATAAAAATGCTAGGGAAAGTTTATTTTACTTTAGCAGTAAATTGACGTAACTCTACACACGTTTGTACAAAATTTATTCAATAAAATTTCTCTGTTTTATCAGAACAGGTTTTGCCGTAATATAGAGTAATGAACGCTAATAAACTTTGACATAGTTTCTATCTAATATATAGTAATTATTTTAATGCGACAGTAAAATTGTTTTTCTACGTGTATCTGGAACAAGTTAAAATCGAGATTTCTGAATTATCTCTTTTTTCTGGATCATATAGCTGTGTATGTTGTGTTATGTATTTAAAGTATTAATCTTTAGAAAATTTAATTAAATATTTTGACTCTAAATTAATCTCAGTTTTTTCTTAGAATCAGCTTTTCTCTCCACTTCTTTAATATGCACTTAAAAAGTTACATCAAATATTAAATAATAGCTGTAAAATAATTTCCATATGGTTTCCAAATATCTAGTTAATGAATTCTATCAAAGTAGATTAAATGCAAATATTAAAATAATTCACTCTGAAATTTATTTTGAATGTACAAAATCATATCTAAAATAATAAAAACTGACATTTTCAGATTGATTTTAAATACAAAGTCGCGTCTAAAAATTAATTTAAGTAGTACCGATATAGACTTAGAACTAAAGTTCTTCGTAATTCTAAAATTTACTTCACATATAAAGTAGGTATCTAAAGTCTAATTTAAATAGATTTAGTTCCAACGGTTTGCACCCTTAAAGTAAATAGCAAACTTAACTCATTTTAGCACACAACTTCGACGAATGGCGAAGTTTATTTTTGCCTTGAACGTTTCGCGAATTAATACCCGTAGATAACGTAACGTCAAAATGACGTTTGCATCAAACGGCCTGTCGTTTCGAAACCTGTGAGCTTTCACGCGACACGCGCATAATTAATTTCGATACGAACCTAACGTCGTAATTAGGATCGATCTTGCTGTCACGAACACGCCAGCTAAGATCAAGAGGCGCGTCTCCCTCGGCCTCGCAGCGCAATATTACGCTCTCGCCTCTTCGCACTGATTCCTGTCTCGTCCTTACTGTCACCTGCGGACCCGCTGTAGTGGAAATTTTTCATCAGAACGTTGGCTGTATATAACGCGGCTCTTACGACAGCACAATGCACCTTAAATACGACACGATAATAAAATCAATTTTCGCGATGAAGTAAAAAAAACGAGAGAAAGAACTCGCGGGATTTCGCTTTTTTTAATTATAAATAAACAGTTGAATTTTGTATTTACACCCAAATTGCAACCTACGGCGCGTTATTGAATGCGGGTTTATTTTGTAGCCGAAACGAAAAAAAAGATCAATTATCGACGCATGATGTTATCCGGAATAATCGCGTGTGTGCGCGCATGTACAGTGGAGGCTTTCATCCAGTGATGCGAAGCAATTATCCGGTGACGAATATTGTAGTAATACTATTGAATTTCCGGCGAACCGTGTGTGCGAATTCAAATTAACAAATTTATTAAATTCATAACTGTCACATTACATATCACTCTTTACATATATGTATATCGTGTAATAACAAATTAAATTCCCGCCACTCTTTCTATTAAACTCCAAAGATAATTTCAACGGGATGACACGTTGTACATCCGCCGCGAATTCCGTATTCGGGGATTTTTACGATCGCGATGTCGCACACGTGGTTAAGAATCCTGGTTTCGATCTCACCGGATCCTGTGAGAATGCGACTCTACCAAATCCCGGATATACAGCGCAGGATACCGATCCGTACCCAGACGACGGCGGTAATTCTACGGTTACGTGAATATTTTACCATGAACCGTTAGCCGAATGAGCTTGCTAAGGCCGGGCCCGATACCGTTGCTCGCCTGGCATACATAGAATCCACCGTGATCTCGCGATACCCGCGGGATCACCAAGGATCCGTTTCTGGCCACCCCGGCGCCCTCCGTGCCGCCGTATCCGAGCTCTCTGTAGTCGCCCGTAGTTTCACCTGAACATGCAAGGATAGATCTTTACGTTCTCCTGCATAATACAAGAGTCTACGAACATTATTACTCTAAGCTTTATACGGATCCCGTTGACGAACCCCGACGTGAGATCCGTCCAAGTCGCACGAATAACTCGACATACTCAGCCAACGATACTCCAACTGATATTTAATATGTTTTGAAAAAAAAAGTGTGGTGCGGTAGATAACAGAATCTTATTCTTCGTGTAATCTCGGATAAACTTTACTTTAATAGAATTTCGACTCGAGGCCGCAGCTACCGAGATGTTTAATTCTAGAACTTTGGCGAAAAAAAAAAAACCAACGTTCAGCTTTGCCGGAGGGAAAATTTATTTCAGTTCGCAGCGTAAAATATCACCTTGTTTACGTCTATTATAAAACAGTATTACCCACCAACTTAAACGCCGAGAAATAACGCGGAGAAAGTTTCTTAAACGCGAAGCGTTTTAAATGCATTTCTGAATACACGAACGTTTAAATGTCTCTAGAACGTAAACGCGCTGGAAGCCGAATAGGAAGTACACAAAGTGCACGCTCGCGAATGCCTTTTTCCCCTCCCCTCCCTCGCCCCCCCCCTGTCGCCCTCGTACATACTTTATTCGCTTATTCTATCTTTTCATAAATAAACGGCGGAACCGGTGGAAGATGTATCAGAATATATACCGTTCATGTAACTGCAAACGGTAAAGATTTACTTCGCAGAAGAACTCTTATCAAGCAAGGTAAACCGAATGCTTTGAAAGCGTCGCTTTTGAGTAATCAGTCTTTTCGTGGGAGTCCCTTGCGAGAATTCATGTTTTATCAAAACTTACGGTAGCCGTGCAAAGAGAGAGAGAGAGAGAGAGAGAGAGAGAGCGCGCGAGACACTCTCGGCCGATGTAAATTGCATTTATTCAATCTAGCGGCACAAGTAATAACAGTATTACGTCAAGTTTAATGAAACCCGTTTAATAATAACTGCGCGCTGCATTAGTTTGCGTGGGCGATGTATGTATATAGATCGCGGGACGTAAAACGTCTTTCTTTGATACGCCGTATCTTCTTTTTTTCGCGCTCGGTTTCGCCGCTATCTGCATGACGCGCATCGCTCGACAGCGGATCGATGCTCCCCCGACATCCTTTCCGATACACAGTAATAAATGATGAAAAAACACAAATATCCACGCAAAATTTGTTTCTTTTTTATTTTCTTCTTTTTTTTTTCGTAGCAACTTTGAAATTTGTATTTCGATGCGCAAGCAAAACGAGGAAAACTTTTATACGGAATAATATTGCAGCAACGAAACCACTTAAAACATCAAAATATGTACGACTAGTTTGGCGAAAACATTTTGCGGGTACAAGCGCAATCGTTTGTTCCCCGCAGTCAATTAAAATCAACAAAAACATTCTCAAACTTGATAACAGTCCCATCACTTTGACATAACTGTATTGCGTCAAGGCAGACGCAAAGCGCTTTTTTTTTTGAAATCTGACGTAGCCGCGGGCGGGAAATGATTGGCTGCGAGAATAAAATCAGGATAAACGGCGAAAAATGTAGCTCGCGCGCCAAAGCGAAGTCGGAATTGCGAGCGAAAATGGAGATGAGACGGGAGGAAATCCCTCGCGAGGGATGCGCTACATCAAATTCACGATCAGCAAATTGATGAAACTAATTATACGGTTCCCTCTCTCTCTCTCTCTCTCTCGGGGAGGACTTATTTCTGACTACGACCGATATCTCTGCCAATGGAAAGATCGACGATTCAGCGAAATTCATGATTGATTACAGTTCCCGGCACGTTTTCTTTTTTTTCCCCGTCGATCTTCTCCGTCAACCTCCGTCGACCTCCGACTCCGTTCGCGTAACTTTAATGAAAATTACATAATGTCCGCGCAAACAAAGCTCTCGTATAATGAATGTTAAGTGCAGGAAGAAATTGTTGGGAAATATAATAATGCTCGGATCGAGTAAAACTGTATTGAATTTGCGAGTCAAACGGAATAAGGCGAAAGTAATACAGATGTTTTACAATAGCCAAGTCCTAATGATGGAAAAAAAGCGATTACTTGATTACTAATTGCTTCTATTAAAACTAAAGAAAAAGTACGGTACTTGTATCAAATGTAAAGTTTTATGTTTAGAGAGATGTTCAGATGCGAAAGTGTCCTCGTTTCTCGCGTTACATCTAAGACGTAATACATTTCTCGTGGAAAGAGAGAGAGAGAGAATTTTCTCGCATCGAAATCCTACCTTTAAGAAGTCTTGACTTACCGATAGATTGCTTCCAAGTCACAGTCGGAATGGGGAATCCTTCGGCCTGACAGGCGATGGAGACGCCGTGACCTACAACCGCGTCCTGGTCGATAGGTTCCACGGTCCACCTCGGCGGTACTAAAAATACGAACCAAATGGTTTAAAATCTTCCAGTCGCTAGAATTCGCATTCGCCGAAATTGACACGCCCAACGTTTCCGTTGCCATTCATCTCAAGAATTTATAATAACGAATTATTCGCAAAATTACATCAAACATAAACATCTGAGCTAATTAAATCAGCAGTAACTGTTACATTATACGTATCTTAGTTCTGTGCGTATGCAAATATAACAAGATTTATATATATTTTATAATTACAAACAATTGAGCTTGATGAAAATATGAATAATATATACCGATGTGTGTAATTCTCGCTTTATTACAAATTTATTATAAATTTCTATTTACTTTATTTGTAATATATTGAGAGAGTAATATGCAATTTTATTTTGTAATTTTGTGTTATTTCCTCGAGACAATATCGTGTAAAACCATCAAACGGTATCGATTTTCCTTGCGTAGCTGAGCCGCGATTTTATCTGTTATTATTCCGATCTAAAAATATATGTGATATGCCAGGTTATTTACTTGAACAGTTATTCAAACATTCAATCGATACCCCTCGTAGTTTGAATGGCGACGAATTCGATGGCGATGACTAAATTAATGTTTTTTCTGTTGTGTTAATAATTATTATGTAACACATGCATCTTTCTCCCAACTAAATTATATACTTACGAAAATCTTTTGCTGAAAATTGTAAAAATATTATACTACGAAATCCATTAAGGCTACAACTAAATTACTTGAATTGACGATGTTATGTATATGTATAAATATGAAAAACAAACGTGAATGGATCCTTCTGTATTGAACTACTTTTAATCTCATTAAGAATTCAAGCAACGTCATATAATGTATATCAAGGAAATAATAATTTAGTAGAAGATATGAAAAAATAAAATACAACGTGCACATCATCGATACGGTAGAGAAGAAAAAATGATTACTAAATCTACATAAAACTAACTAAAAGCTCTAAACAATCCATTAAATGAGAGTATATACGGTAAAAAGGAAATATAAAACGAAAAATAAACATATTTTTGAACGGAAGACTGTCCGTCTAATACGTGAGAGTAGATTAGAATGAATCGAACTATAAATGTGTATCGGTCGAGAAAGTATAATACACATAATATAGTATGAATATAGAACGTAATGTCATGCAAAAATGCAAAAATCGATCATTATCATAAGGAACGTAACAACGCAAGCACCATTCCAAGTAAATAGAGCCGTATAAGAGATGGATGTATAATATAAAATGCTTCCAGACAACGGACAACGACAAACGCAAACGATACCGTGACAACGTTACCGTATGATAATACGAAAATAGAAGAAGACACGTAGTATATAAGGGGAAGGTATCGCTTTTACATTCTTCCATCGTCATTCCAAGTCGCTCTCGTAAAAGAGGGGAGAGGGAAGGGAATTGTAACCAGAAACAGGTTAACTACGCGAATGCATGCTTATGCACACCCGTCATAGACAAATGTTGCATTACATTAGCACAACGTCTTGAATATATCAACTCGCTACGGATACTCTACCTAGTACATTCGCGAGAACGTCCTTAAAAAATCTGTGAACACGTGTGAATGATACTTCTACAAACGCTCAAAAATGGAATTTCAATTTCGATATCGATCTCGGCGATGTTGCTCGTGGAAAACGAAAGGGGGACGATAAGAGAGTCAAAAATACATTTTACATCAGGTCTTACCGGCACGTCGACACGATCCTCAAGTGGGCCGTGTACGTGTGCGTTAAAAATTATATCGTCGCTTATCGAAAAAAATATATCCCCCTCGTTAAAATTCACAAATAGAATCGTCCTGCTGCAGCAACAGTCGTGAGAATCTACCTGTCTCTCGTAGAGACGAGCATGCAAACAAGTAAAGTCGGCGATACATTTGTCGTGTACACGATTCCATGTCGTCATCCGCAAGCGAAGTATTCCCTGCTTGCGTGGCACGCTCATCCTCGAATTCTAACGATAAATGAAAGTTCTATCGAGCTATCCTCAAAGACGAACGAAGGAAGTCGGGATATGGCGGCATCGTGCCAGGTAATTCCGGATCGATCTTTCCTTCAATTTCGCCGCTTCGACTTTGCCTTTATGTGTCAAAAAAAGTGTTTTAACGATTAATGAAGCAAATTAATGGGTATTTTCGCCGGATTGCTTCCTTTGAATTCGAATGTCTTCAAACGTAAGTAGTATAGCCAGATATCGAAGAGCAAGTAGTACAAGATACGCTTGATACGACCAAGTGCAAGTAGTACGACCAGACATAAGAAAGAAATCCGAGAGTAAGTGATACAAAATGTTTGTGATACGACGGAGAACACAGAACAAATATAAATGTATAATATTCATATAAAAATGTGTATATATTTATATATATATTCGCATATTCAAGATACACGCGTAATATGACCAAGTAGAGATAACACGGAAATATCAAAGTATGTAAAATTGCACTGAAAGATATTTCCGTATATATGCATACTGATCGCGGTAACGATACTATAGTACTATGAAACTGAAAAGTGCAGTACTCCATCATATAGGATGAACACAAAGCGAACTTGCAAGCGCATTGCTTTCCATTTGGCAGACGAGGCAAATATTGAGAATGGTTTATGATACGTTCTATAATATCTGAAATATTTTTTTCAAAAAAATATATATATAAGCGTAATGAGACTCGAGAAATTCAATTATAATTGTTCCAGATAAAGTAGCGGACTTTAATCATGCCACGAATTCACTTTAAACGTCGACGAGTTCGTGAAAAATTTGCAATTACGTCTTGAATTAATTTGTTAAATTTAATTCTTAAGTTCCTTATTTCACGGTTGCAATGCAATATCCAATTACTATTATATTACCTACTTCTTTGATGTTTATTCTTGAAAAACTACAGCTTTTGTAGATTCAACTTTCAATTTGTTATGCGTATACAGGATGCCTTTGCGGAGGTTAAAGGATCGCATGGCGTTCAGAGAAAATTCCTTTGCCGTGCGACAGTTTCGTTGGAAAATCTTTAATGGCTTTTAGATGTCGAAAATCTAGCGATTCTGCTGCATATTTTATATGCATTAGGAGCGGCCGCCATACGTACCGTAATATATACGATCGTACCGTAGCAATGTGTGTGAATTTATAAGAATCTTTTAATATTCTATAGAATTTCTTTTTGAAGACAGACAGCATAAGCCTTTCTCTCATTTATGCGAAACATTAGGAACGTAATCCGGTGAAACCCATTAACTATTAATCCTCTCGAAACTGTTCTAGATATCGCGTTACGATTCAATTTTCTAGTTAATCCTTTTCCTGATTTTCAAAATCTTTAAAGTAAGATAATAATATTAATAAATTTAATGAATGATTAAAGTTAATTTCTTGACTTGCGGACATACATCTCTTCACGCTAAAATGGAGATCAGAGATAAATTTCCATTAAAATGTTTTATAATTATATCTCACTCTCGCAATTAGTACATTACAAAAAAAGCACATGAATATTATTTGAAGAGTAATTGTAGATTTTTATATAAACTTAATTTATGCATATGAAATTTTTTATATAGATAGAAAATTTTATATATGCACTTTTTTATCAAATATATTTTTTTGAACATATATATTTTTCATACGTTTTTTTAAATTTTAAACTTTATACATAATTTATGTAATTTATATTTAATAAAACTTAATATTTTCTACTATATGTAAAGAGTGAGGTAAATTTTTAAGCTGAAGGATGATGCTTCACAAATTGGCGAAATCAGATACCAACGTATAAGATTACGATCCGGCGAATAGGGAGTCGTATCGCACGTCCCTCCTCGAGGGATATCATCAACGACCCGGGTAAGTCGTTCGGGTAACCAGGAAGACAGGAGAGCGGATTAAATAAAAAACGGAAACCGAATAAAACCCTGCTCGATGTTTCTCCAAATTCCGTCCTATGATATAAAAACTATATACCTATCTTTTATTATATATATATATATATATATATATATATATATATATATATGTGCATATACACATGTATGTGTATATACATCTGTATACGCGAGAAAAATAGTACAAAGTTGCGAGAGAAAGAGAGAGAGAGAGAGAGAGAAAGATAGATAGAGAGAGGGAGAGAGAAAGATTAGAGAGAGAAAGAGAGAGAAAGAGAGAGAGAGAAAGAGAAATGGAAGGATAGCGAAAAGGAGGATTGTTATTTACGGACGCATTTATGTACACAGTTTTCTTACGGCTACCATGTCAGTTTTGTCAGGACACCAACCAGCGACTGAGAGGCTGGTCGAGTGCTTGGCCAGGCCAGCGATGTTGCTGATCTGGCACGTGTAGTTGCCGCTGTGACTAGCGCTGACGCTATTTATCGCCAGGATGCTGGAAAACGGCGGATAGTCGCTTATCTGTATGCCGTTGCTGGTCTCGACGGTGGCGACGGTCTGGACCGACGACACCGATGTACCGCCGTCGCTCGCCCTGACCTGAATCGGTTTCTCGTCCATCAACCACGTGATGTTGAACGGCCGGTCGCCCTTGGTCGCCGTACACATAAGCTGTGTCCGCTCCCCCTCCATCACACCGTTTCCGAAATAAAACGGCGAGATCCGCGGCGGAACTATAAACGTTACGTTTGTGACATGATAACAGATATGTATGTACGTCCCTCTGGGTCTCTTGCGCCAGCATTAACCGCACCTAAGCGCGTCATCAATCGAGAATTCGAGGATCTCTCGGATTCTTTGTCTCGTGACACCATCTGTCACGATTCTCGATTTGCGAAAAAAAAAAAAAGGATGGGTAATGCATGCAAAGAACGACCGTGGATAAATCTCACTCACGGTACTCGCCGGCTAATATTTTACCTGTTAATTCGATCAGACAAGTCTCGTGGAGCGGAAACAAAATCACGTTTTTTTGCGCTTACGCACTACTTTCGCGCGGTCCATTTTTTTTCAGGCTATTTGACGCGCGTTGAATCGCGGGAATCCGATAACCGGTCATTCGATTCGTTTCGGGCGATTTCCTTCGAAGCGGAGAAAGAACAGGTGCGACGCAACGCGTGCGGTCGTCCGTTTCCTTCGCGCCGCATGCACGGCAAGATCCGCGGAAAATTGCGTGGCGCGGACGGCCATAAATATTGTTATACTACGTGCGCCCGGTCGCTGCGAGTGTAACTCGAGAAATGAACATTTACGAGCGAGCATAACTGTTAATGTCGGCCAATGTGTCTTTATACGAGGAGAGACTGGTCTGGCAAAGTTGGAAATAAGCTCGCGGCCGCGCCCTTGTGCGGGGGAGGAAGAGGAGAGGGTCGGGGGTGGAGGGAAAGGCGCGCGCGAAGAGAGAAAGAATCGTTAATAAACCGTTTCATGCTGATATGCGTGAAAACTTTGTATGGGCACCTGCAGCCTCCCCTTCGAGAATAGATTCCCTCGCGGATGTACATCGCGGAGTCGATTAAACGCGGTTCCCTGGCCCGGCGAGATGCGCCATAACGACCGTACAATCGGCATGAAACATCTGTACGCATCTGCTCCCCTTCGAAGATACACAACTCTCTCAATTGCGTATCGCAGACTTACTTACCGCGGCCCCTATCGAAACTTTTCAAATGCGGAAGAAAAATTGTGAGGATCGCGAGAGAGAGATCTCTGGGTATCGAGGACGTAAAACGACGCAATCTCTTCATCGCTGCATCTTTTTCTCTTATTTTACTTGGAGTTTTATTGTTCTCTTTCTCCATCATTTGATTTTGATGCGCATGCAAAGATTAAATACTCCTTCGTCGAGAATTTCAGAGATCTCTCGCGTCGAACGTCCCTTGGATATACAAATATCACTACTGTCTCTATAATAATATCGTAACAATATAATGATGATGAAAATGATGTTACACAAAGTAGTATATATGATATACCTCGAGCTTAAACACATCATTATAAAAATTCTTTGCTACATTAATAAAATGATAACTTCGTCAAAAAAACGCCCAAAAACGTGATATACCATACAACACAATAATGAATAACAAAGTATAACGAGTCATTCGTAAAAAAATACAAAACGTCTTCTACAGGATCGTAGAAATGTCGTTAACAGCGATTTCCGTGTGTATATGTAGAATATATATATATATATATATATATGTATAATACTAGGAGAAATAGAGGCAAATTTATATAATACTCAGTCAAAACATTACGTGTCTCTTGAATATCAATGCTGAACGATGCATATACACCTGTGCGAATAAGAAAACCAGTACGAACTTTACGATAGCTTTACGATCTCGCTGCGACATCGAGATTCCGACGAACAAAAATGTCTCTTATGTACCTTTTTACGAGAGCTTTGCCCCTTTCGCGCATCTTCTCGATGTCACAGACAATACCTTGTATCTAAATAATACATACTATGTAAGTATGTACGTATAAGCGGCTAACGCTATGGATGCCCAGCTTTCCATTATTTAATATTTGTTCTTTTCTTCAAATATACTTTATTTATATCTGACATTCTCATAAGTTTTTCTTTATATTACTCAGTATTTATTATAATATTTGATTCGATGAAACATTGGACTTGACAATGTTTCTGATACGATTATGAAAGCGAAAGAGATGCGACTTTGGGCAAGTACAGCTCCGGGCCGCTCATATAATGTTAATACGAGAGTCAAAGGCATTGCCAAGAGAGTGTACAGTACGTACAATATACACAGGTATCGATAGTGGTTGCAGGAAAATTCGATCAAAGCGTGCAGATTGGCGTGCAAAGAGAACGGCGTGCAGGACGAGAAAGAGTGAAAGGACGAGAGAACGATTCAAAATCGAAAGTAATCTGAGAAAGAAAGCCGGCAACGCGTCGAATCGGTGACATTATAGGTCGCTCCCAATGGGACCTCCTCTCTTTTTCCAAGCCTTCGGGAAATTCCCCTCTGCGGGAACACACGAACGCGCACCGATGCGACGCGTTGTTGTACGCAGCGTGCGTCCTGGATCTAGCGTGTAGCAGAAACGGTCGCGTCTTGAACGATCTCGAATCCCCTTCCGAAGATCGAAAATCGCTCGAGGACGCGAACCGTGGTACCGGTCGACGTTCAAGGAACAATGCCGGATAACGACGACGTCCCGACGAAGATGTCTTATAGTCGGGCGAACAATTCCGCGGCGTAATCGAGCGCTCTTCTCCCGAGGTATAAAATAAAATTGATTACGGTTACACCTTTCTCTCCCGCGCGCAAAGTCTCGGGCGCGTTGATTGATCGATCGTCGTGGCGCGGAGGAACAACGCCGTGTGTTTCCCTACGTGCCGATCAATCAGTTATTTTCCGTCGCCGCCATACCGGTCAACGAACTGGAAAATTGCCAGTCCGATTCTATCACGGCCCACGCGACTCGGTTCGACTCGCGAATCTCAATGACAATCCGCTCTCACGTCGCTGTCGCCGATCTTATTTCGCGTGGGAGAGACGTGGCGCGAATCAACCCTCGTTTCCCTTCCCTCGCCACCCTCTTCCTCCTCATTCTCGTTGCTGTTCGACGTCGTCGTTGGCATTTCGATGAGCGGCGACCGGGTACCGTGTTCCGAAATACGATGTCGTACGATACTTGGCGTCGAGAGTCTCTCGATCGTGATGGAAGCGCGACAGAAGACGAGGTAAGGAACCGAGGTGGGAGATGCGGGAGAGAAAGAGAGACGTATACATTGGCGAGATATTCCGGAACACGGTACGCGTACAACGACACCAACGGTGTGCGTTTACCGTTGACGTGAAGGAGTGCAGAATGAGCGACGGTTGCGGCGCCATTGGTCACGCGACAGGTGTACGTGCCATTGTGCGCGGGTGCGATCGTGCTAATGCTCAGGGCGCTGGTAAAAGCGTCATGTTTCCCGATGGTAATGCTCTTTCTCTGGGACGAGGGGGACGCTTCGTCATGCCCGGGGCCGGAGACGGTCATGGTAGCAGGGCCCCTCAGCTTAGGGGGGCCCACGTCCATCCCGGGACTGGCGGCCGGCGACCGACCGCGGCTGCCTGACGTCGGCGCATCCTGCGAGACCGACGGCAACGTCCTGACCGTCTCTATCGGGACGTTATCTTTCAGCCATGTGAATGTCAGTGGTAGGTCGCCGGTCACGACTACGCACTGTACGCTAGTACGGTCCCCTACGTTTAAATCGCGAGCAAAACTGAAAGGCGTGATTTTAGGTGGCACTGAAAGAACAATACAGACAAAGGTGGCATTCCATCAAAGCAGTTCAGAATCACTAGAGAATCACGATGTTGGGATATGTATTATGGAACGAGAGGAGGGAGAGGTGTGTGCAGGTGCAGGTAGGGTATATATGGGGGATAAACGGTCGTAATCGTCGTAATCTCCCTCGCGCTGCCAGACGCGCGCCTTCTTGTAAGTGTGGGAAGCGATTTTTCAAGCGGCGCGTTCCAGCAACGCCGACGGGATAAGGAGAAGCGACCTCGTTCGATACGGCATACGTCGAGAAAACGGAATCCGTGAGTAGCGAGATTAATCGATCGCTCCTTCGATGCCGGAAATCAAGACCGCGCGCAGCAGCCAGAAGATACTGAGAAAATACTGTCGATATTCAGAAGCGCGATAATTCTCGCGTGATATTGGCTCTCGTGTCCATTTTGCGCGCGACTGGAGAATATTATATGTGTTATATTTCACATTATCGTGTGTTTCCTATAGCAAGAATCATTTTTATTGCTCAAACGAGAAATAACATTATGATTAACTGCTAATTTTAATTAGACGTATGCGATATCATGACGAAATACGCCTTTGGGAGACGTCTACAGATCGATAGCGGGTGAAAAGAGAATAACGTGTGCAATTTTAAAGAAAGGCTATCGCGGCGATTCTCCACAGAATATTCAGCTTGCCGACAATCTCCGTAACAGGCTTTACATATTTAAAATAATAATGTAAATTGTGCGCTTGTATGTACATGAAATGAACGCGTAATTGAAAATTTCAAAATCCGAACGCGCAAATTTCGAAGGAAATATTTCCACATTTATACGCGTTATTACAAGGTACATCTGTTTCCTTTTCATCATCCAGATCGCCGGCAATCTGACAGATTCCGCGATCGTCGCTCTATCTCGAGAGCCTTCTCGTTAAATATCTATGATTTAATTCTATACGCGATTTTTTACGGGGTATTACGAAATTAATGTGCAATCACGCGCATTGTAAAGTTACATCAAGTTACATCATCTCCGTACACGTGTACGGAGACACACAACATAACGGAGGAAATATCAGGGAGATCGAGAGACATTTTCCGGTAATACCCCGTGCGATATCTGTAGTACGTCGCGTCGTCGGTCCTATGTACATAGTTACGTTACGTACATACGTGTGTCAGCTGGATTTTTATGTACATGAGTAACACGAGTACATAAAAATACACGGAATAGAACAGAGCAGTTAGGCGAGCGCGTGCAAAGGAGGAATGCTTGAGCGATGCAGTGAGGTGCTGTGCCCTGTGCATAGGTCATTTCCGGACACGTCTTCTGTACGCGCGGCATACGCCCGCACGCATACATATAGCTGACAAATGTCGCCGGAAATCACGCGCGTTTGCCCTCTTTCGGAGAAAATGTTATGTGTAAAGCGCGAGTGAAAAGAAACGACAATGTCTCGCATTTCGCTCAAAATATATATTTCGTTTTTTTTTTAAATACGTTCCTCGACGGTAATTTTGCGCAATTCTTGCGTAACTTGTTACTCGACTAATATTTCTCGCAACACTTTTTGGAAATATCAGTACGATATTTGATATTTAACGTGAAAAATTGAACGCGAAAAACAATCAATTAGCGAATTTACGAGGCACTTTATTTTGAAATTGCGCGATTTCCGTAGGCATTGAATATATATTTATATATGTATTTATATATGTATATGTGCACACACACATGCGCGCGCGTTACGTTACACAGTGAAACATATATATAAAATAGTCCCTCTCACGAAAGGTTTCATACGATTTCGGAGAAGCTTTTCTGTTAGAATCCAGGGTGAGGCGGGATTGAAAAACACTGCGCAGAAACCTAAACAGTACAGCTTTCCTCTCTTTTCTTTTTTTTTCCAACAATAAAACGTAAATTGTCGAGCGATGTAGAAATAAATGATCGATCAAAACCCGAAAAAAATTAATAAAGATATATTCTCCATAACACACACCTTTGAAAAAATAAAACATATTCCCCGAAATATATTTCATCGGTATAATATAAAACTATTTGTCTTGTTCTAATTTTTTTTTTGTGCAGCCCGCATCGGACAGTTGCAGTTGCGAGTGATCGACTGATCGATACGTGTCTCGTGAAAAGCACGACGTATTTCGAGGGACGATGCGTAATGCGATAAAGCAAAGATTCGAGGATCCGAATGTTGTCTCGCGTTAATTAATCCTGTCCAACGTCAAACAACGCACCATATAGAGTTTGCTTGATGAACCTAATAGAAACATTATGTAAAGATAAATTCGGCTGTGCCGCGCGTCAAACGCGCACATCGGATCCTGTTATGTATATAAACGGGTTGCAATTAATACAGTTGGACGAAGGGGACGAGCAATGGATAGTTAATACATTGTTCGACAAAGGGAGAATACATATTAGCGTGAAATCCGTGATATCCATAATCGCGTTTCGATAACACGGGAGGTAAATTACGAAAAGTGGCAAAACAATTCAACGTCAGATTTCGCGAGTGAAATTTTATGCGAAATTTTCGCCCAAGGATTACATAGACTTTACAGACGCGGTGGTTGATTTACATTTTTAAAAGAGATATTTTCACAAAAATATGTGTTGCGCATTTTACATATTATATTGCATAAAAATTATGTTAATTAAATATGTCGGCATAATATAATGTAAATTGTTAAATATTCATTATTAAAGTATCGTGTAAAAAATATGATCTCAGTGACACAAGCGACTGGATATCCTCTTTTGTATCTTGAAAGGAAGGCGAGATCGCGCTTTGTTTTACGAGCACGCGTGCATAGCTATCTCTTAATTTTCGAATATTAATTTCACGAATACTTTGAATTCCGGTACTCAATATTGCGGGAAATTATGCAGAAACTATTGGCTATGTATTTACTTACCTAAAACGCGTACTTCGACCGAGCGATGCGACGTAAAATTATGTTTGTTTCTGGCAGTGCATGTGTAAGTGCCTTCATCGGCACTGCGTTGCACGGTATCGATAAACAGCGTGCCATTGGCGACTCTTTGTCTCATATTGGTAGGCAGTTTTACGTCCCCTGATAACAGCGTCGTTTCATTTAAATGAGAGCTCCTCTCCATTCGAGAATATTCAAGATATTCGATAACATTGTAGGCTTTCTACTTGACAGCAAATATTTTGCATCTTTGACGTTCGACGTTAACTCTTAATCGCGTAAGTAAATTTCCAAACATCAACAAATGAGATAAACTTGTTAAACTTTGCGACGTGTCGCATAATTTATTGATTATGAGCGTAAATAAGGATTATCAATCAATGCCGAAATCTACTTATACTAGAGAGACTTTAATGCATTTTTTTCCCACAATGGAAATATTGAATACTCAAACGAACGCGAGATTCCCGTTATTCGAGAGGATTAACGAAAATGACACACGACGCTTACCTTTCTCCCACACTATCGATTCAATAGGATAACCGGCTACAGGACACTTGATATATAGTTGCTTCCCGGCGACCGCTGAAACGGGCGACATCGGTCTGACGTATGGCAATCCTGAGATTAGAAAGCAATAAAAGGTCGTTACACCCTACGCTCCACTCGCGAAATAGCACATAAAGTTATAAATTTCACAGTAAATCCAATTTTATTTCCTCGACTTTGTGAAATCACAAAGAATGTAAAAGATAGATCACGTACAACTTATTTTTTAATACATTTCATGTTCCTTCAAAATCTCTACATTTTTTACAATAGTTTAGAATAATTTGGATATGCACGGAAGATATTTTTATAATTCATTCTAAAGCAGAAACTGTTCTCACAACTCTGATAATTAATGTAGAGCGTGTTTATTATGATGAATAAACATATATAAACATTGAATGCAATGTGGAAAATGTAATTTTAATGAAAAAAAAGTATAAAATGAAAAGCGCAACAGCAAAAAATGAAAGATGCAAAAAATCAAATTTCATACGCGAAAATTGTTTAATTTTATTTCTTTATGAGTTATTATTTTTATTTTATTTCAAGCGTAATATTTATGAATATAATATTATTTTAGTATCATACAAAATATCTCAATTTCCGTTTTCAATAATTCCATTTCTCTCTCGTAATGTTACAAGAAGAATTTACCTTCATAAGAATCAAGTGCTTTATTTTCAAGTGTTTATATATATAATATAATATTATATATATAATAAAAATTGTTTTATATCTCTCAATTTATGAAATGTTAAAATATTATAACCAGTAAATTCAAAAGTATTTGATCAATATGGCGAGGAAAGATATGTTTGTAAATTACTTAATATTCGATATATCGAGACGTTATTCATCAAAGATGGTCGGAAAATGGGCATAAAGTTTAACAGTAATCAACAGAGTTGCAGGAATGGTAGTTGTATAAACGTATCTAATTACTGGAAAACGTATTTGCGACTGCGTTAACGTGACTTTCACGCTGACTCACCGTAAATATTGAGTCTCGCCGAGTGTCTGGCTTCGCCAGCGCGGCTGCCGGCGATGCACTCGTACTCGCCGCCGTCTTCTGCCTTCACGCTCGTGATATTAACGTGCGATATTACGTCCCCGTACACGGTCACGTATTGGCCAATCAGAAGCTTGTCGTTTTGTGGAAGCGGAAATCCATCCAGCAGCCAGGAAATTTGCGGCGTGGGATTACCCGCGGCGCTGCATTTCAGGGAAACCGATGGACCGGGCTGCATTGTCTGTTCGATAAACCTGTAGACCAGCTGCGGCGCGATCTCTGTTAACAGACGTTATGGGCGAGATTACGCATATCCCAAAGTTTCCAAATGTTACCTCTATCACCCTTTCCCCACTCTCCTCTTTACCGCTCTGCCCGCCGCGTCCCCGCTCATTCCCCGATATATCTACTCTACAGCTGCATCTATTTCCGCCCTTCTTTTTTCTCTTATTGCTTTCTCTTTTGTACGTACGTTCGAATCGATTGTCGAACGTGAAAGGGGACCATGTGAATTTAAGTTAGTGACCTGACGATATCTCTCTCTCATCGATTCGTAGAGCCGTTTAAAAATAATCTGGATGAAAAACTATGTCAATTGTCGTCGCGTAATCATCGATCCGTCGAATTATTTAAAGCAGTAAGCTAAATAGAGAATAAAATTCGCAATAGGTCATTAATTAGAAAAATTAAAAATTAAAAAAGTAATATCGCGCCTCGAATAATTAACTTGTGAAAACAATAACGCAAAAAAATTAAACGAATTATTAGAGATTATCGCGTGCGAACGAATCGAATAGAAAAAAGAAAATATGTGAATATCGAATAAAATGTGTGAAATATGTAGATTTTCATTCAGCCAACTTTCAAAATGGCATGATGATAAATTCGTAAACTTTACAACGACGAATATATATGCGCCAGAAGATAACGTCAACTTTACCGAAAGTTTTCGTATTCATTCACGAAGGTGGATCTCTTTATCGCCATCGGCGTTATTGATATCGATATTGATGAATATTTATGAGAGACATATTTCGCAACTTTTTTCCTGCGACATCGTAACCACCAGGGGGGCATAACTCGAGCAGGATGCGGCACATTCCTTCCTTCTTACTTATCCTAATTATAATTTTTATCAGGAAGCGCGTGGGGAAAAACCGCGCGATTTATTCTGTGCGAATTAACTTCATAGTTAAAAGTTGAAAACTCGCCGGGCTCGGAGTTTACCCGATGTATAATTAAAAGGCTACGCAGTACCCCATTAGTAAATTAACAATTAGGCCGACTAATTATTCTGTTCCGTTATCCCGCGTTTTTGGCGCGCGAAAGAAGAAATCTTACTGCGTTTCTCAATATCGTAAATTAAGACCGCGGTTCTTTAAGGGCGATGCAAATTAATATATACGCTATTGCGGAGATAACAAAAAATCCCATTGTAAATAAAAATCCCATTATAAATAAAAATCCCAATGTAAATAAAAATCCACTAAATAAAATTCCACTAGTAGAAATCACGTTGCTATTTTCCAAAACATCTGTGTCGATGTTGTGCAAACGCAACTGATACAACTCTGTTGCAGTAACGGGAGAGAGGACATTATAATTGCGTTTGTATTTATAGCACCTGCGAAATATAATTTTCAATAACGTAATATTATTAATTTATTATATATGTCGCGTGAAATTTTTCAAATAATGTATCTCTGTTGTATATAAATTGTAGAATCTTTTATTATATTTATTATATTTGTTGCAAAATTTTGCGTTTGAAATAATTCAACGGTAAAAATGTCGAAAAATAATATTTGTTCACTTCTCCCCTCTCTCTCCTATGGCATGTAAAACTATGAAGGTTAATATAATTCATTTGCGTTCTAACTAATATTAATTGGCTCTGTGCCGGTACCGTTTTCTCGAAATTTTAGGAAATAACTCGCGTTACGTGGAAACGCGAAACAGAGTCACGCTTGCTTGTTTGTATGAAAATTTCGTTGCTAAAACGCAACGGAATCGTATTTTAGAGTATAAAATCCGTATACACGAAATGCCAAAATGTGCTTTGGAGAAATGACAAGCGATAAAGCGTAATTTGCATGAGCGATATATCCTTCCGCGAGGTTACACGTGAACTATAGGTTCTCCCGTGTGCATAGCAAAGCAAATCTCGGAATGAGAATTACATTAAAATAATCATAATGCAAGATATGACGCGTTTGTATAATTTCAACCGGAGGAACCGCCGGTAAATTCGCGAAACTCGTCGACGTGCCGCCAACATCCGAGCTTTCATCTACCGACGTACCTATGACATAGACGTAAATAGACGTAGTCGCGTAGCGTCCCGAAACCGCGCGCGGCCAGCATGCAAAGCATCGGCAAAACCACAGAAATCTCGTTAGCGTATGCAAATCCGACGAGTGATAGTAGTAGTGGGTACTAACTATCCTATCGTGCTACGAGCGATCCCTGCCTAATGTACAGTCTATGTCCTACAGCTTAGAAATCGCGGAGAAACGGGAAGAATCCTAATGATGAGGTAATAGGCGCCCGACCTCCAACTTGGACGACGTAAATTACTAATTTTCTATCCGTCGTCGTCGAGTAACCGGGGGGCGACGGCGGCTTCATCACCGGATATGAGTAGCGATTACGCGACATTGTTGATGTAACGCAGACGTTGCTGCGTAATTATATCGGGCGATGCAATTATCGCTGTTACTTTCTCTTAGCATTTTGAAAATTCACGCATGTACGTTATATCATTTTTAATATAGCATTATAGAGTGTTTTAAAAGTCTGTTATTTTATTAAATATTATTTTGTTAAATTTAATAAAAGACTTTTTGTTGAACATTTTTGCCGAAAAAAATTTCAAGATGAAATTATGTAAGAGCCAGCACGAAACAGTTAAAAGAGAGAAGGAAGGAAATAATAAGTAATTTAACTTGTAATCCTTCCCCGCTCTCTTTTTTTTCTCTCTCGAATCATGATGGAAAAAGAAGCAAACTGTATACGGTTTCTTGTTTCCGATGTCACCTCGAAAATGGTATCCAAGGAGGCTATAAGCGATTTTGAAAGAAAATTTAAAGTTTCAAAGGTCATAAAAGTTACCAAATGCCGGGGCTATATAAAGGTTAATGGCAACGAAACCCCGTACGAACTTCCAGAAATGTACAAATCGCTCGTAAGAACGGGCATGAAACTCAGCGTGTTGCCAGCAGCAATATCCTCGAGAGAAGAAAATGATATAAAATAAAAGCTCGCGACTGAAAGAAAGCCAACATGGAAATTACATCTCGAAATCTAATTAAAAGTAATATGTTTGGCGATAAAAAGAATAACGTACATTTAATTAAAAATAATAGCTTTACATAACGAGTCTTACAATTGTAATAATTAACGGCACAATCTAGATTCTAATAATAAAAGTATACGATATACGAACGTAAGAGGCGTTGTGTGCCAAAACCATAGTAAGCGCTCTTATTTTTCGCGAAAAATTTCACCAGAGGCAAACTGGCCTCTTTTTTTTTTTTTGTTTTTACATGAAACACCGTTCTCTCTAAGTTACTGGACGTGTTCCGCGTGTCATATGTTACCCATGTGGTTCATCCAATAGTTGACCGTGACGTCACTCGGGTATGTGAAACGTATATCGTAAATCGCTTTTATTATATTCCGGGGCAAATTCGCGAGTCGTGCGGTTGTCCATCGGACATTGATGCGCGACGATGGAGGTCTCGTACGAGGTTTGGCGCACGCGAGAGCAAACGAGGCCATTTTCGTACAAAAATGGCACGTATCCCGCGGCGAAACGATGGAAAATACGTTACGAGGGAACATTGCGCAAACAGGCAAACCTCCCCCTCCCCCCCCCGAATCCTCTCCCTCATCTCACGCACATACGAGTTCCGCGGCTGTTAACCAACATTTTCAAACCACGGGTAAACCAAGTTTTTGATCAAGTTCGTCAAACATCAGATTGTTTCAACTCTTTATTACGTAATAAAATTGCGTAACCGACCTTAAAAATTGCTGGGCGTACCTCGATTAAATAATGAATTCCGTGTATTTACACGACGATTGTACTTCATCTCGCTAAACTTTCCGTCGAATATAGCCAATTATAATTCTAGAGAATCGAGAGATATTTTATATGTATCGGCTGGATTAAGTAGCTTTGGAAACAATTGTTAGAGGAGGGAAGAGGTAATGCGATTGGCATACAATTGCGCCATCGCCATGAACGAAATTCGGCCAGAGTTAATCGAAACCGAGACCGCGATTATCGTTCCGCAAATGGGGGCACGCTCCGCAAAGCACAATCGGAAGAGCGATGAGGGCACTTTCCGGCAAAAATGGCACGTAGCCTGCAGGAAAGTCGTGCGCTGCCTCGTGATGGAAAATGCGTTACGATGGAATGGCACGCGAACCGTGGAATGGACCGTACATGGGAAAGAGTTGCCTGGCATTAACCAACGGTAAAGCCGGCGGAAATGCTCGTTCCGGCAAACAAGCGCAACTTTCTTTTACTCGAATCGACAGATATTTATGGCATTATACATTGTACGTAAAATACTTCCTGCAATTAAACGACAAACTACGGAGGGCCTATTATCATCTTCGTCATAATAATGATAATTCAATCTCAAGAGAACTGTCGACTAATTAAAAATTCTCTCTGACTAGACTATTTTATAATTTAAATTGTAAGACCCTCTTCACGAAAAAATTGCCATCTAATTTATTAATTATGTTTAATTTCGTGAGATAATTTCTTATTGTGATGGATTTTGAGACATTTTCGAGTTTCCGAGCACACGATTACGTTTATCGCCAACCCTTAAGAAAGTGGATATCGAGATATACATTAATATCTGAAATGCGAAGCAAAATGTCTTACCCCCTAAGCGCAATTCTGCAATTCCTTGGGCCATTTCGTACTCGTTCCGCACGAAGCACTGGTACATGCCTCGGTCCTCTCTCGCAACCGACGTCACGGAAATACGCTCGCTGGAGACGGTCCTTACGCGGGCGCCCGTCCTCAATGGTTGACCGTCCTTCAGCCAATAGAGAGCTGCCTGCGGAAATCCACTTGCGGTGCACGTCTGCAAAGGAGTTTAGACGGAAGGAACTGATGAGAATCAAGAAAGGAGATCCGCGCGCGCAAAAGCGAGAGGGAGTACGACTCCTCTCCTCGTTTCTTCTTGAGAGAAAAATCAGATCTATATATTCCTGAAAATGTGTATTCGAATCGCGCGTTCGTACCACGACTGGCATTAATTTCCGGAGCGTACAGATTCATTTCCCGCGTCATCGACGGCGCTTTACCGTATTTATAGACGGATGAAAACGTTACGGTAAATATTTCATAATCAAAGTGCTCGATATTGTGAACGATCTATCGAAGAAACCACTTTCGCATTATTAAGATGCATAGAGTTCTTACGAGGGGCTCTACAACATTTATATCTATTTTCGTGTTATTGCGTTTCGCGGTGTCAGGATTAAATTCTTCGAAATTATTTCCATTTTAATTTGTTCCGTTTTTGCCTTCCTTTTCTCGCGAGATTTCGGTCGATCTTTATCTTTAGCCTTTTACTCGCGATCCACACGTACGCTTGACTCGAGTGGATCGATATCGACGACAATCAATTACCAGATAGGCGGATTTCCCCAGGTCGACGGTCTGTATCGCCGGCTGCACGTGAACGCTGAGCGGCGCAGACACCGTTAATCTGATCTCCAAAGTCTCGCTGCCTTCGGAATTGCTGGCGGTGCACATGTACGAGCCGGCATCGTTCTCCTCGATACTCTGGATGATCAAGGAACCGTCGCGCACCACGTAATGTCCCGACGATTCTTCGATCGGCTCCTCCCTCTGATTTCTATTGTAGTACCATCTACGCGAATAAACAGACGAGAGAGAAACAATTCCCGTTTAATATGCGATTTCCAAAACAGCTGTCATTTTATCGAGCTGTCATTTTCTCGTCGGAGCAAACGACATAAGCAGACATTCGAAAACTCGATATATTGTTCCCCGCGGCTCATGCGCGCGTGCTTCTCGGCAATGTGTATGCAAATTACCATTTCCCGCGCTCGTCAAAGCGTCCATGGCCATGTTATTATTATTATTATCTCGAGTTACCTAACCAGCGAGAGATCTCGGGAACGTTACGCGTTACGTGCGCACGTCTGTCCGAAACCGCGTATCTCTTCACTGCACACACTTGCCACAAAATAACTATTGTTTCTCATCGGAAGAGAGAGAATGCATGCATTTCCTCCCCCTCTCGTCCGTTATTGTACGATTATATGCTGCGTATATGCTGTACTTTCTCTCTTTCTCTCTCTCTCTCTCTCTCTCTCTCTTTCTCTCATTTCTATTTGTCGCATATATGTATGACACAGTCAAGGAGATACTAACGCGCTGGCACGCTTGCAAAACGTTGATTTTTAAAGGGCATGCATTTTAATGACATTCGTCGCGCGATTATTCACACAGTCGCACGATAAAAATATCATTAAAATGTATGTTTGTGAATCACGAATTTACAGATTTAAAAATAGCTTTATCATAAATTAATTTCAACGTAGAAAAAAAATGCATTCGGCGTTAAAGACACGCTGTATTACTGTTGCGATAATTATTCGAGTAGTTATCGCGGATCGAATTTCACGAAACGAGATCGCGCATAACTTCCCCGGCTTTCGGCTGTCCGTCTTAATTGAAAATTCAAACGGCGTTCGCGGTTGCCTCGATTTAAGCCAGCCTCAGCAGAGAGGATAATCCGATCGATCTTTGGCGAGCACGCGCGACCTTTGACCTTATCGGACCGCAACGACGCCGAACGATGCAAGAACGTGTGTCAATCTCAACGAATTCTCATCTTTCACAACAATCAATTATTAAGCAGTGAGATTTAACATCATCATGCTTTATATTCTGTATATATCGTGTACTATTATTACTATCAAGCTTAACAAGATATACAAAAATTGATATGACAGAAAGAAATTGGATGTAAATTGACAGCAATGTTCCTTATCAATTCGTTTGATATCCTTCCTACCTCGGTATGACAAGCGAAATCACTAATGAAAATTTCAAGCTACCGCTATTCCTGTTCGCTTTCAGACAGTCGTCCGCGCTTTTAACGAACTCGCATATGTATTCCTGCGCAGCCGGATTGACATGAATTTTTAATAACGCGAATATATTTCACAAACACACATGTATATAACCATCCTCTAATTAAATGAGATATTAGCTTTAAAAAATACACTGCTTTTTTTTTAATAATATAGAGCGATTTATTTTTAAATATTATCAGAGCGCATAAAGCGCTGCTTATTTAAATTTAGGATAACTGATGTTTTAATGTTTTATGAAAATGCTCCAATTAAACTGAAACAAAATTACTTCAATTAAGAAAAATTAATTGATTAAAGATGTATACAAATAAATTCGCTCTCTGCGAGTTTAATAATATGAGATATTCTTGAGCGTTATCTTCGATGAAAATCAAACATATGACATATAAATAAAATTGATCAAGGGCTCTTTTGATATTCCTTTTAAAATAGAAAGAAACGATTAGTCAATGTACAAAATAGTGCTATCTAAATACTGTCAATACTTAAATCGATTCCAATTCAAAATCCTTTATCGCCCTACGGGAAGTTTATCGAAACCGAATGGAGCCAGTTCATCTTTTCGCGATTGCTCGTAACGCACCATTAGCTTCAGCATCGTCCCTCTCATAGTTTTCCCTCTCTCTCTCTCTTTCTCTCGCAATCTTTCTTTCTCTCTCTGTTAAGCGATGATCGGCCCCACGTGGCTTAGAAATCCGTTAAAGCATAGTAGTCCGGGATCTTGCTTACTCCGCATCTGGGAGTAGATGTGGAAGGACGATGATGACGACGAGGAGAACGATGAGGACGATGAGGAGAAGGCCAAAGAGAGTTGGAGCGATGGATGGCGGCGTCTCGGCAGAGCGGCAGAAGTGGAGCCATAGGAATGAGGAGTATACCTATAGATAATCGAATTTACGGAGGGAAATTGGCGAAGGAAGGAGATGAGATAGGGGATGCTCGAGTGCGAGGGAACTCGGAAAGATGGAAGCCTCTGCGCCGCGGCAAACCCGCAAACTCTCCCTACCTTCCTCTCTCTCTCTTTCTCCATCTATCTTTTTCTCTTGCCGTCGCTCCATCTTCCCCATCTTCGTCTTCTATCCTCTCCGCCCATCATCCGTTCTCTCTTCTTCTCTCTTCCTCTTTCCCTTTCCATTCTCTTATCCCTATCTCCAGATTCTCCGGCCTCTCCTCTGCTCTCTTCCGTCGACTAAATCAACTCGCGGAAGAGATAGCTAGGAGAAGAGGATGAGGCGAAGGGAGTCGGCGCGGAAGAAGAGGGCGATTGGAGAAGGATGACAGGACGAGAGAGAGAGAAGGTACGAGTGGTTGATGAACACAAGCATGGAATACTCAGTGACGTCGACGTATACGTAAATGCGGAATATTTGATGGGCTGTCAGAAGCAGTCTCTGTAATCAGCGGTCGGTTTGTTTGCGCTACCCATACAGCTCTCCCGACGTCTATATATCTCCGGACTATCTTCGTTCATCCCCCGGTTACCCGCGTCACACGCGTGCGACGCGCATGGAGCCGCCAATCGACACACACACACACACACACACATACACACACACGCGTGTACAAGCGTAGAGAACCACATCGCTCTATTCGCATCGATTCTACAAATTTCACGTGCGTGCGATCAAAGTTCCGTCGATATGTTCTGTTGGCGACGTTTGAAATTTTCATTTTACTTTACAGCAAGAGGGGAGGAGAAAAAGAGAACGCGCGCGAGAGAGAGAGAGAGAGAGAGAGAGAAAGAGAGAGAAAAAGAATTTTCATCAAACTTGTAGAAGAGTAGAATAAAACGAGAGAGCAGGATAAGATTCTTAATCGATCGCGGGTGTCTCGCCCGTTGATCCGTAACTATTTAAGTGTATCTCGCCACAGCGTGCGACACGACACCGTGTGTTTCCGCTCGACGCAAGTTTGATTACCGCGCGATCCTCTGTACGACGCTCGCGGCATCAATGATGGAACCAAACTAGTTGCTAATCGCGTAATCCGCTGTAATAACACACTTCTCCTCCCACGCAACAAGTTTCGAGAGCCACTCGTCGCTTTTCTCTTCAACAGCGTGTTGTATCGACGTGCAACGAGGGTTGCAATCTCCCCCTGTCGCTTCGTTATATCCTGCTATATCATCTTCCTCTCGCGCGCTCTTTATAAATAAATAAATAGAAAAGATAAAAGATGGATATTTGGAAGAAATCGACCATCAACGTAATATTTAACACAGGGAAAGAGCGCGAAGAAAGAAGTCATTCGTGTTCGTACTCTCTGTTTTTTCATTCGGTTTATCTTTCTCTAGTCGAATCTCCTCCAAGTCCGCGTGTCGATGAACTCTGAGAGTCCTCGCGTTTCCGCGCGAGAAACTCATATCGCACGGAATATTCCGGCCGGATCTATGTTTAAAATTAGCATTAATATAAGGAAAACAGAGAGACATAACATACCAGTCTAGTAGCGAATGAGTATCGTCCACATGTTCCTCTGTTTGCACAAAGATTCCAATTTCCTCGTCACGACTGTCGGCCATAGTTTCATTCGACTCGAATGCAAACCACTATTGAATCGTACGCGTTTGATTTCGCAACGAATGCGTGTGCATTATTTCAGATGATAAGTTTTATTCTAATTTTTCGCTAAACATAATGTATACAGTATAATTTTAATATAAAATCAAAACATTTTTTGATTTTAATTAAATTTCCGTACAGATATGACTCGATGCATTTTCCACATTTAGTTTTTTTCTCTAACAATTGTGTTAACGGCAAAAAATTTGTTATAGAAATATATAAAGAACAGAATAAAGAGAATAATCGCGTATTCTTTCAAAACACGACATTTAACTCGCTCTTGTTCGTTTATAAACTTTATATTCTCGCGAAATATCAAAAGCGGAATTGAAATGATCCGGTCGGTGTATTTCGCAAGTTTCACCCTCATTATTAGATCGCCAATATTTATTGCGTTTATCGCACATTATTAACTGCATTGAGCCGCATTGAGCCGTCATGATATAAATGAAATTCGTGACCGCGTATTTTGTATTCGCGATGCAACGCGAAAACGTCTTGTTAATCTTCGACATCGGCTTTAATTCACGTGCACTGCGTCCTATACGTTTTGCATGCAGATTACTTAACAACGTCGCCCGCGCATGGTGGAAAGTAAATGTCTGCTTATCGTTTAATTGCGTATCTGAGCGTTACTCTGGACAGGGGAGAAAAACGAGATACGCAAAAGGGTGGACGAGAAAAATATACTTAAATTCCAATTATGCTCTCTAAAAGTGAATCAGTGTATTATCACTGTAATCAGTGCTGTACTTATAACTGCGTATAATCAGTGAGTATTTACTGTTTTTCAGTGATAATATATTGATTCATTTTTAGAGAGTGAGTGTTTTATAGAATAATTAATTATATTAGATTAACTTTTAACAATCCGAAAATGTGCGCGCGTACCACACAAAATACGCAAGAAACAGTCACTGTACTAATGTGCTTTGTTAATAATTAAATTGTTGAATTAATTAATTGTTATTTGTTAATTGTGAAATTTATTTATCTAATAAAATTAAAATTATAGATTATTGATTTAATAACATTAAATATAGATTATTAATCCCATAATATTAAATATATATTGTATCAATAATTTAATGATTTGTAATATTAATAAATACGAGTGCAATTTGAATATTGAAAAAACTTACCTGTTAATCGGGGTAGGATTAGCATGGGCCACGCAAGGGATCACGACGGTGTCCTTTAGACGGGCTGACATGTACACTAGCTTTTCATTTATTATAGGTGGCATGGTGCCTCGAATTTCTGCAAAAAACACCACGGGAAACGCGTAAATTCAATTATAGCGTAAAATCGGAGATTAAATCGCGGAACGTTGCTCGGCTTGTACCGCTCGTTCGGGAATCGAATCCGGGCTAGTCCCCGCCGCATGATACGCGGAAAATATGTTCATAAATCGTTACTGTCTGCGGGAGAAAAGAAAAGCGAGACCCCCTAAGCCGGATGGCGGTGGATTGGAAAACACGGACGGAAGAAAGAGAAAAAAAACAGGACTCTGCGCGCACGCATTTCCAGCGCGCGACATTTAATGGGGAGTTATGGTCGCAGATAACGCCACGTCTTACGACACGGTGCACTATGAAGCGGAACCACGTTAGATAACGACGATATATCTCCGCGCGCTTTGGCGAGAATTTGAAATTACGTCACGCGCTATCAAAACTGTCGGCGAAATTATGTTCCGCTCGAATGGCAACGTCCGACAACCCTCTACGCGAAACTCCGTTTGCTTTAGCGAAATTTCGCGATACCTTTTATTTTCAAATTAAATCAATACATTGAAATAGTAAGAGGATATTTTTGAAAGAAAGAGCACGGACAATTATATTCTAAAATTATATTCTAATTTGAAATTAGGAAAATTAGATTTAGAAATTAGGAATTAGATTTCAGAATTTTTGATTTAAAATCAAATCCATGCATAAATTATGAACATGCAAATTTCCAGATGAACTGAGCTAATTCTGCTTCAGAAAATGGCTGGTAAAAATACTTTTTATAAAATAAAAATAAGAGTGAAAATTAACTCGATTCGTATATTTGTAATTTACGCGTCATGAACTTTATTTTAAGCCAAAATTAAAGTCCAATCCCGAGTTGCGAAAATTTTGGGCAACAAACCCGTTTTGGGCACTCGTCCGCGCTCTTTACACGCAACGCGCGCACATGTACATCTCGCGCTATTCACATCTCGGAATCGCATAATAATGCAACTTAACAAAATAAAAACTGTGAATTGTGTATTCTCGTTAATTGAGTTTGCATAGCGCAGTTATAATATTCTTCGCCAGCACGCCGCCAGAGTTGCAACCGTTACATAAATCGTCGGACGTTCCTAATTTGCGCCCAACATACTTTCGCACGCTTCATATTTTGCCGTCGCTCGAAAATTCAAATTTTCCCAGGCGAGGGATGAATTTATAATTAAGCAGATCCATACTCGGGACAGGTTAAAACGGGGTTTGTCAGCGAGGAGACGAAGATGCGCCGTTAATTACGTATAAATCAAAAGCGACGCGCATATCGCTCGCGTCCCGCGCGATTATTCCATTTGTCCAATTACAAATATGTAGGTATTTTTATTTTCGCGTCGCACTGTTAAAATCGTGCCACTCAATCTGCCTAGCGCATACCTGCGGTAGAAATGCAGCGTGGTTTATTGATTCGTCCATAGATACTCAAGTGCCCTCCTCTTCGGCACGTGTGTTATTTCGCGATCAAATGATGTGTGGACAGCGACGCATACGTGCTGTTACATTTAACGGGGAATTAATGCGCTGGATTACGGCGGACGAATACTCCGCAGTTATACATATCTCTCGCACGTCACGACAAAAATATTTATCGTTTACGTGAGATAGGTTTATACACGTCACACATGGCCGTTGTGTATGACGTCGTTTGATTTCACAATATCATTAAATTCAATAGAACGTAACAAATATAATATTGCGTATGAATAAAATGTTAATTAATGTTAATTAATTAATCTTATAAATACTATTTTCCGAAATAAATATATATGTTCCTTTAAATTACAAGTCTCAATTCGCATGGGAAAAATTTGCAAAAAAAAAACTTGACGATCCAAATAATTCGCTGTAAATATAATAATTATGTAATACAGACATCCGCGAAATCTTATAAAATATTGGGAAGCGGAGAGAGAAATAAATAAAATAAATATAAATTCTCCACGCCGTCGATTATGACATTACCAAATTTTCGAATTTCAAATCTGAAATTTGACGATCCCTCTACAAGAGCGTACGTCAATAAAATTCAAGCATTGAAATCCGCAATAAATCAAACGGGCATAACGTAACGTCCATTCCATGGCGTTCATATAGCACGGAAATCGTACACCACCACCACCAAAATTGTTTTACGTGATCGCGGTCGTGATATTACATGCGATAATGATATCTTTTCATATATGAGTACAATGAACGTTAACTTTACGCCGGTTCTAAATTCGGCAGGCCCTCCTACTGGGATTTATACGCGGATAATATGCCGAAAAGTTTCCTCATTACTCCGTAAAACTACTGTACATCGTGGTTTTGGTTAATTTAGTAGGATATATGCCAGTCTCCCAGACGCGGGGGAGGTGAAAGAGAGGAAAATGAGAAGGGGGAGGGGGGGTAAGCGAAATATGCAAACGATCAAATTTCCCCCCGCCCCCAAACTTTATTATTAAGTTATTAACTACCTAAGTGCGCTTAGCATAAATTTCTATCTTACTGGTGGAGGGAATCCTGCGTGGCAGGGGACAATGGGCGGGGTCCGTGTAACAGCTTTATTACGAGTGCACGAGCGAACGCGTACGTTTCTGGAAAATTGAAACCCGTGAATTTTTCAACGTCCGCCGAGATATTCTTGCTCGGGCACGTCGGATCGGTTTTTCTTGCCTGATTATGCGGCGGCACACAAACGGCGATCTCTTTCTCCCTTTCTCTCTCGCTCTCTCGCTCTCTCTCTCTCTCTCTTCTTCCCACCGGAAATACCTCAAGAATAGAAAATGTAGTGATTAATATTATAAAAATGTCCCCCGAATTGACATTATCGTCAATCATAATTATTGTAATTTAAGAATGATTATTATTATAATATATTTTATTGAGAGATTATATTAATGTGACGCAATGATTATTATTACGACTTAAATTATTGGCTTTGTTGTGGAAAATCGAAAGAATCTCAGCTATCCGAAATCTGAAAGTGATTAAAGTTGAAACTTTTTAAATCAATCGTTTTCGCTCCCACTGTTCGTTCGTTCGTGCGACTCGCTTTAGACAAATATTTATTCTGTTTGTGTATACCGCCGCCAGGCTTTCAGCGAATATCGTATATTTCGTCAAATGATACACAAGGTAATTAACCTACGAGCGAATAGCAACGATAATTAATTGACATTCATTGAAAATATTTGTGATTAGGAAATATACTAAAGCAGCGCGCCCGGTTATGAGTTCCAAACATCCGTCGTACTTGGTTAAATCGCGTTATATCGAGGCAATTTCCAACTGGACCTCTTTCAACAATATGAGTTTATTTAATATCGATATTATGAAACTCGCCAAAATTTACAATATTGGTAATAATTAATTGATATTATTCTACGTGTACGCATTCTACGTGTATACCTAACCAAAACAATTTTACCGATTCAATATTGAGAATTTTACTTCAAAACATATGCATTGTATATGCATGGGCGGAAAGTAAGCGGCATATGAAATCACGATGACTACGTGTGTTCTCTCGAATCTACAAGAAACTTTAAATAAGTCGCACGTCCCCCGAAATTCGCGATATCACGAGAGATTCTCCTAGTTTAAAAGTTTTCCAACTCTCTCTCCGAGTTTTAGAAATTTAGAACATTGTCTATGGGGAGAAGGGTGAAAAAGAAGGACCAAGAGAGCCGGTGAGGAGAATTTTACAATGAGGATACTGCGCTAAAAGAGCGCGATCGATATTTCATTACAAATACTATTCCTATATTTATACTTTCCGCGTGGTTACATATTAGACATGAATTATAATCGGGTACATTAATAATAGATGAACGATGTATTTATAACAAGTTCAAAAGGTACGACGTTACCAGATCGATCATTATCTCGCGACAGGACTCTACCAAGGGAGAAAAGGTAAATGCCATAGTTTGTCTTTCCTTTGGCACTCGTGCGGATATATACGATTAGAGTTCCACTTAATTTCAAGCGCGATATGATATCCTAAGAGAAGAGAAAGGCCATTACTCTCAGATCACTTGGGATAATTTCCTTCGTCCTTCGATTCCTCTTTTCGCCGGTTTATCTAACCCCCTTGTAATTTACACAATGCTATACCGTTATCACTTCCTTAGCCGTTATCTAATTAAACATCGACCGCTGTCGAAGAAGTCGATCAGGCAGTTTCGCGCCGGCAGTTAAATGTATTGTTTTTATCTTCCTTCCTTCCTTCCTCCTTTGCGGCCCTCGCTATCGCGAGGTAAGATCCGAGTTAATGTGCTGGACGCGATAGGGAAATAAATTACGCGAACGTAAAAAAAATAACGAGGGGGTGATGCCTTCTGAAATTAATTATCCACTTTGTTTCATGATGCCTTGATCCTTAACGATCTCGTTTAATCAGATATTAATTAATTAAATGCCAAAGATGCGATAAATGACTAAAATTACGAATATTCCTAATAGAAATAAACTGCTCACCATCGATTTGCATAAACTTTGAATGTTTTTATTAAAAATTTCAATGACGCGGATGTGTATTGAGTTCTCGATTCCGGGGACAAATTTTCCCTTTTCATCGTTCTTCTTTGGTTGCTTTTGCTCCAAATGAAAAAAAATAGGAAGTATAATTGCTGCGGTATCGATCGAATTGGGTGCAGGTAAAGTAAACATTTAATTAAACTCCACCATACGTCCGATATACGTTCAGCTCGAGGCGGAACCGGAATTTACGTTCGACAAGCACAACGGATATCCTATATTCGAACTCTTCTCTATTTACGTTTTTTGAAAAATTTAATAATTGTCGGAACAAACTCTTTGTGTTTAAAACATGATAAATCAAATAGAATACCGACTAACTAATCCCGAATCAAAATTATTATATAACGAGAATAATGAAATCTCGTACATACAGTGATATGAATAAAGAGTATCGAAACTTTTAATTTTTTAACGCGCATTGTATTTTAGTAGTAATAATTCCATCGACAAATTTGCGGTCGATTTTTCATGAAAACTATCGAGGCATCTATTGTCTACTATTGAATAATTAGTGATAGAGAATAAAAGGATCCTAACAAAGCTTAAAGGGAGAAATTAATTAAAAATAACGAATAACAAAAGTATATTCTACATTTAACTTCACAAATAAACCTTAATAAAATTTTAATCTTAAATTTGCATCTATTGTCTTCGAGTAATTAGCGACAGAAGATAAAGAGTTTCTGATGAATTAAGCTTCAGGGGAGAAACCAACAAAATAAAAATTCTTTCATTAAACTCAAATAGACTTTAACGAAATTTTTATTTTAGATTTGAGACAAATTTCCGTTTAATTAATTTTCGACTATATAATCCATATATATTTTAATATTAAATATTAATATTAATATTTTACCCATAAAAAGAAATTACAAATGACTACAAATTGATCCAAGAATTGTTCTCAAAAACAATACACAACGGAAGTGGTACAATTTGTTGTATTCGTTGTGGGAAGAAAAATCTATGACATACTCACCAGTCAGTTGCAGCCGCCCTACATTGCTGCTGACGACGGTTTCCTGAGTTAGCCGATGATGCGTCCTGCATCGATAAGTCATCTGCGCGTCGCTTCGCGTAATATTGATTATCATCAACTCACCGCTCGGCAGCATATGATATTTGCCATCTATAACAACACGCGCGCATCGAGTTTGAATTACGTTTCTATCATCATCGAAATCTAAATTGATCGGAAGGAAATTACATGTTTATATAAGCCGGCACATAAATGACGTCATGTAATATAACTCCTATTTTCCAATAATGAAATTGTATAATTAATTCGCGATAATATATCTGATATTTGTATATATAAAAGGTTTTGTTTAATTTTGAAGTAATTATATATACATATATATATATATATATATATATATATATATATATATATAATTATATATTCGCTTGCTCGTTGAAAAATATGATGCCATTAATATGCAGATGTATCTATGAATGCCTATTTTTCATTACTTACCGCCCATTGTGGAAGGATAAATATTGAAAACTGGTTCTTGGAGCCAAGACGTGACCGTGACGTGATCACGAACAAAACTGGGCACGTTACAGCGCATAAGTACATTGTTGCCGAGGAAGCTGCTGGGGCTCTGCACTTCCGGATCGTAACGTTGGTTTACCACTGCAACGCATATAACGATAAGTTCTACTCTCGTTGTATCCATATACCGTGGTTTTCGGACTCATAAGAACGTAACGCGAATGTGTGTGCTAACAACGTTTCAGCTACGCAAGAATGTTGCGATTCGCTTTGATGCACATTTCTACTCTATAAGAAACGAAACCATACAACGCGACATATAATGTTGTGTATTTCGAGCCAATATTTAATACCACTTCTAATTGAAGAGCTTTCATGAACACGAACATAATGTATGCACGGGCATGTGTAATTTTATACTTCCATCTCTATATACTTAATGATCTGTTTAGTAACGCAGTTTAGCTGGTAAATACGCGTTACATTTACCGTGCTCGTATATGGAATGTTGATGTTGAATTTATACGATTAATGTTAATGAAATGAGTTACAAATAGCTTTCGTTAATTTACTAGAAATAATAATTCTTTATAAAATAACATGGAACACAAAATACAAAAAGTAAACAGTGGTGAAATATTTAATGCTAAACTAAGAGAATGATCACAATGCATTAAATTATGCAAATTCATTATGCATACATTTTTAAAATTATTTTCTGCAAAGTAAATTGCAGAATAAAATTGTTTGTTTTTTTTCATAAACTGTGTGTGTATGCATACTGCGATGTTATTATATTCAAATACGTTACGAGTGCGCGATTCCACATTCCGCGTACATTCTGTTTTAGAAAGAAAATCTTACGTTAGTGTCTAAAAGAAAATATTTGCATACAAAAGTTAGTTTATAGAAAAGCAGTTTTAATTTATGGAAAAATAGCATAACACGAACTTGCTTTGAAATGCGTCGCGTCATGCTTCGCATCTAATCACCGTCATCTCTACGTTGACATTACGCGCTAACGAAAGGGCTGATGACGAGGCTTGATGAAATGCGGTAACACAATACGGTCAAAGTAGAAAATCCCAAAAGGCGGCGTCCTATCCAAAATCTCATGTCGCGAGATCCGCCCCTGACCTGGCAGCCCACGTAAGTTGATGGGCTCGGCTGAAAGGTTGGTAAGGGCATGTCTGAGAGGGGGATGGAATAAGGTTGTAAAGAACGTGGAAGGCAGCCAGGCAGGAATCTAGAAGAGAAAAGGAAAGAAAAAGTAAGACGGGGAGAGGGAGAGAGGGAGATGGAGATGGAGAGAAAGGGGATAGAAAAGCAGCAGCCCAGGGAATCGGTGTGGTGTGGTGGTGCGTTGCGGGGTTCTGCCTCCGCAACCCGTTTCGAGAGTCAGCGGAGCGAGGCACTCAGACTTCAGAATGGGGTAAAAACTCAGTGAGTTTGCCCGTACTCCATTCCACCTCCTTTCGCCCGCCCGTCCCTTGCGCACGCTGCCATTCTCTGTCTCTCTCTTTCTCGTTACGTCTCCCTTTCTGGTTTCCCTTCGCGTATCGCTCGCTTCTCTTTCCCTCTTTCTCTCGGTTACGCGGCAACCAAGCCAAACATAAACTCGGCAGACATCTCGTGGCAGGTAATATTTACAAACCATGAAACGAGCAGGGAGAAGAGATAACGGGGAGAAACGGGAAGGAAAGAAAGAGCGGTGAAAATCAAAAAGCGAGAGACAGAGAGGAAGATGCCGCGCGCAAAAGCAACGCGCCGACTAGCTCTCCATCAGGGCGCACGTCTATCCTCTCAAAGAATCATCCGCTAGAAATGAGTAGCTCGTCCGAAAATCACGCTTTTTCAACAAGTCGGATTTTATACGAAACTAGGGGGGAAATCTCTCTCGTGGCGACGTAATTACCCGACGTATCTACGACTGAGAGATAGAGTACAGTAACTAAGAGGTTTTAAGGTCGAGAATGTGGACAATATTATTATATATATATGTGTTTGTGTGTGTGCTTTCAGAAAATCAAGACTAATAATCTCGAGCAAAATATATAAGGCTAATTGTAAGTAAATATAATATAATAATAATTTAATAATTATTAACTGACATTCCTAAAATATAAATAATATAAAATATAAAATATAATTTGATATACTAACATTTCTAAAATAATATTTATATAATTATATATTAATTATGTAAATTTTTAATCGAGGCTTAGTGAAATTGGCTTACAAATATTCGAAGCTATAAGAAATTTATGAAAAGAACACAATGTCGACACACATACGTATTATCTTTAGAAGATAAGTTACTAAATTGAGATACGGCACGGGAAAAATGTGACTACCCGCACCGTAAAAGTGAGCAAGACTCGGTTCCTGTACTTTTTATAAAAGAGTCCCGCGTGCGGTCGTTAAACTTCCTCATTTTCTCAGTACAAGGTGACATACCGTACATATGTGTATACGAGACGTAATGTCGTCGCAACGTTTACTTCCAGGCTGGCACGTATACACCGAATGAGCGGACAAAGTACGGCGACTGCGAATCTTCATGAGTTCGTGTTCGCTTGCTCTCCGAAATAAATAACGAGCGTTCGGTTGACTGTTCACCAGCGAACCGATGTTGAATACGAGTAAACAGAAAACGCGAACAGCCGCGGGACGTTATTCGCGCTCGGGGTTGTTCGGCTCCTCGGTGCAAATATACATGTAGATACATATATACCGAGAGAATGTCATAAAATAATACATGGTCCCGAGAGACGAGCCCGAGCTTGAACAATCTTGCAAACGATGCTCCGGCGATGCTTATTTCCTGCCACATCTCTTGTCATCTTTTAGATCGTCTATCTTCGTATCATTTGAAGCCATCAATATGGAACATGTCAAAAAACGACTAACGACTTGTTTATATCACAATTTGGTAGACAAATACTGAATAATGGAAGGATGTAGATCTCTCTTGTGGATATAGATATTTAGACCGAATAAGATACATTAAATCATGCAAATCAGATACGAGACGTAGACTCTTCTAGCGTATTTAAATGAAATAATCAATAAAGTAGGAATTTCTTGCGTGTGAGAAAAATTGAACGAGATTTTATGAATTATTATCTTTCATCAGTTCCTAGATGCTTTCTCTTACTATGATGACAAAGCTGTCTTCACCGAGACAAAGTAACCCCGGTACATCCCCCATATATTTTTTCCCTTTTTTGACAAAGCGTCGCGATTACGCACAGCAATCGCTGAAAGGATGAAAAAACGAAAAGACCGACATTTCCGGCGGTAGCTAGCCACATGTACGAGCGATTGCGCAATCATATCCATTTTGTTTCCGAGAATGGAGCGTGTGCGCGCCCGAAAGATTTTTCTCGAATACGGAAGGAAGAAAGAGTCGCTCGAGTCAGGGGTAGCGGAAGGGGAAGAGGGCAGGATGAAACCGTGAAGGAGATGAGCAAAAAGAAAATGGCTGAGGCGGAGACTAGGAGCTGACGCGGCGGAGGCACCAGGCATGAATCTGAAAAGGTATGGGCTGCGTTCACGCGACGATGATTTACGGGCGTATTAGGTCGATAAGATATCTTCCGGTTCGTTGACCCGGCGGAAGCTCTATTTTTAAGGCGCCTCGCGGCCTCCTTTTACTCCATTTTATCCGTCTCTCCTTTCTCTCTCGCCGTCTTCTACCTCGATACTCTTGTAGACGCCCGTAGTTTCGGAAGGTATCGCGTCGTCGAGCAAAAGAAATCCGTAGACGGATCTTCTTTCGGTAACGCGATTTCAGTGACTAAGTGCCACGATCGCCCGATACAGATTATGCTTGTAAAACGTATATTTTCGTTGCAAAGTGAACATATATGAGACGAAATTCTTGGATATAAACTTTCTTTCGTAGAATAAAAATTTAGAAAATACTGAAAATCTCTCTTCCGGTTACATCGCTTATTGAATGAGATCAAAAATTTAGTTTGTACCACAAATAGATGGTATTCTCATTCTTATTTAAATTATCGATAACACAATCATTTATTTTACATATATAATGTGTAATATTTAAACCTGAAATCCGGAAACTATATGTCGAATGCAAATTTTCAAGTTAAATATTTCAACAAGATTAAAAGGAAAAAAAAATCTCGTTTTATTCGGTCTATTTTATCGATATCCTTTTCGATAAAAATAATCTAAATTATTTATAATTTTTAATATCTAACATTTGAATAATCCAGAAGGGATGATATGATCTTTCCAAAAATCTCTCCTCCGTTTTGCTTAAGTGCAATACTAAAAATTGCGGTCTCCAACCACTTAGCCATTCCATTATCGTTGCAGATCCCGACGACGGAGAGAGCCCCGTTATTTGACTCGTCGTCTACGTCGGCCCGATACGATACCGTAAACGTGCGCGGGAAGGAAATTTCATCTCGCGACCGTAGCCTAGAGCGGTGATCGTGAATCCGCGGACAGGCACGCGCGCCCGGTGTCTACGACGCGGCGAGGTGGTGTCCATCTACGTGCAGTGAATAAGACGATGATGACGACGACGATGTCGGACAGTATAACGAGAATAATACGAGGGAGCATACGGCGTACGATAAAGATAACGAGGGCGAGAAGTTTCGCTCGCTCGGCACGTACCTGCTCTGACAGTGACGTCTCTGCTGACGACCGCGCCGACGCTGTTGACGGCCGAGCACTTGTAAATGGCCCAGTGGACATCCTGCCGGAAGGCCTCGGCCTCGAAGGCGGGAAAATGTATCGTACCGTTACCCAGAACATGCCTGATGCCGAGGATGCTCGTTATACTGCCGCCGTCCGCCGCCAGCCAGTCGACGGTCGGCAAAGGATTTCCGCGCACCGTGCAATCCACCCGGCCGCCACTCACGTTGGTGAACTCCACCCTTGACGGCGGTTCCGTCACGAAGCTGGGCCCTTGTGTTTCGTAGGAGGCGTCGGAGGAACCTGGGAACGGAGAAAGACGCCAGATATGTATTAACGTAAAGAGCGCAAAGAGAAATGGGAAAGCCGCTTAACTATATTCAATTAAGATTACGCCGCCTCCCCCTGTTCTCCCCCTCCCCTCACCTCTCCGCCATACGTATCTCGCGGATTTCTGCCGCTCACCTTGCCCTATTCATCCCCGTTCGTTCCGCGTCACTGCGGCGCTATACAACTTTAAATACGTTCTATTAAAAAAAATCTCCATTTACAAGGACGTTTCTTCTCGCGATCGCGGAAAATTCGCCAATCTTTATTCGGGCGAGTAGCATCTCCAGCGCGCCTGCGCGGTTTGTTTCGTAATTCTAACGCACCATAAATTTTAGAGTATTACGAATAACAATCAGAAATGCATTAATCACGGCAGCGGTGTCAGCCAATGGACACTCGGCTGTGGATTTTTCGTTCATCGTCGACCGAATGCAAAGTAATTTTCTCGGGGGGAGCGCAGCAGCGAGAGAGAGAGAGAGGGAGAGGGAGAGAGAGAGAAATGTTGGATGCGGTGGGACGTGCACTGTATCGTCGACGGACATGAACGAAGATAATACGCCCGACCATAAATCATACATTTAACGCTGAAATTCGGCCGTAATAGCTTCCATAAATGGAGCGCATTGCCACCATCCACCCTCTCCTCCTCTCCCCCTCCCTCCCTCCTTTTCCCACTCCCCCGAAGCCTGTTAACCATTCATCACCCGAGTTATGTTGATTTAAGTAGGAATGCCGGACCGCTTCCGATGTATTCCGCATTCCGTCCAGCATTGCTCATCTGGAAGCCAATCCAACCGAGTACAGTCTACCCCCGGATAGAGTGGAGAACGTGCAACGAATGACACGCGCGCTCGCGGCGTGTTTCCGCGTGTGTTCCGTCATGAGATCACGATCGAAATCGTCACAAGATTGCGAGATTTTAGCAATCTCGGAATATATCTCTCTTGGCAAGTTTTTCAGAATTTTAAATTCAAAGATCCACTTCCGTTTGAAGGAAGTTTAAAGATGAAAAAGTCAAGAGTTTAGAGAAATCTCTAGATTTGCTAATGTAAAATATAATACATACATGTATCTGATTAACTAGTTTCAGTATTTTAATGCTTCTCGTCAAAAATAGACTAAATAGTTTAATTTTTATTTGATATTTTTAAAATAACGTGGAGATAAATTAATCTCTTTTTGTTACATTTTAAGAGGATCTTTGTGAAACATATACGTAAAATAAATTAAAAATACTATTATATAAATAAATAAAGTCATTTATATATAAGCCATTTTTATATAAAAAATCTAATTTTTCGCACACAATTTTTTCATAAGATTACTTTTTATATTGTCTACAATATTGCGTTCAATTTTCCCATCCATCATCTCGTGATAAAAAATTAGAAAAAATTATCTCTTCTAAACAGCTTTCATAATGCTGCTAAATTACAAGTATTGAAAGCGACATAATAAAGCGTCTCGAAAATTTATCCTATAAAATTATAATTATACATTATATTATTACAAAATTATAAATATAATATAATATTATTTTGTATTAATTACACATTTACAAGAGAGGAAGTGGTTAATAAAGAGAGATTTTGGTGATTTAGTAAAACTTTTGCGTGCTTTTATCTACTCGTTGCAGGCTCGAGGCCAAGGTGCTCTCAGTAGCCGGATGTAGCCAAAAGAAACGACGTCGAAACTTATTTTGGCCGAATCTCCAATGAGCGCTTACATTGGCAATTCCCTTCCTTACACCGGGCGAGTTTAAATCTTGATTACTTATCTTCCATAAGCTAAAGCAACGTTCCTTGGTAATCGGGGGAGGATCCCCGATCCTCGTGACGTCGACTCTCGGACGAGCACGTTCGAATCCGGAAAGTTATCGTTTTCTCGAAAAAGAAAATCGTGGACTCTCTCTCCTATAAAAGCTGTAGTACCTAGCAAAGATTTACTTCCTACCTTACTCTCTCCGCCTCTTTCCGTCCCTTCGTTCCTTCCTGCTCTTTCTTTCTCTCTCTCTTTCTTTCCCTTTTTCTCATTTTCTCGCCGTCTCTTTTTCTCCAAAGCCAACGGAGTCTCGAATCTTAACGTCGCGTGCACTCCACCATCGCCCGAATAGCCAGTGCACGCTGCAGACCTCCGATTGGATATATCTTGTGACCTACATTTACCCTGGGCTCTCCGTAATCATTTCCCCGCGGAAGGAAGGAAGGCGTTCCGCATAAAAAGTTAACTCTTCATCTTCCGAGAGTTCCGAGAGAGTTCGCGTTATAATTCCGCCGCTGTCCAACGTACGTCGGCTGTTCTGCGCTTTGATCGTTACCGAATCTCCCCGGATATATATCAAAAATACGATTCCGCATATACCTCTGATATTCGTTTTTTTCACATCGGATTACAAACTTAATAAGCGGGAAAAATTAATCGTGGCAATTTTTCTCTAAATATATGTCGATCGATAAATTACGCGATTATTAATTGTTACGCGATTATTTCATATATCCATTATTTCGATATAGAATATCATAAGAGAAATTCACATATTTGACACATTTATATAAAAAATAAGTCGCAAAAACAAAAGTGATTAATTATACGCTCGAAATAAATTGAGTCATTGAAATAGTTAAACAATGAACGGCGATGAAGGGGATGAACGAACGTGGCTGGGAGAGCTTTGCATCTACTCTGACACGTACTCGACTGTACACCCTCTTCGGATGCACTCAGCAGGACCGAGTACGGAGAGAGGAAAGAGAGATCGCTACACCCGGCTATCGTAGGCAATACACCACTACCGTGAGAACCCGTCAACCCTCAATGTCATCACGAGCATGTATCGTATCCTCCCTTCTGCTCCTCCGAAGGCGCGTACTAGTGCTTCTTAGCTAGCGAGGGTTAAAGAAATGAGACGCGGACGAAGGCAAAAGCGGTGACCAACCGTATAATGTTTTATGTCAACATTCTTCGGAAATCTACTTCTTCTCTAAGTGCTCGCTTTTATTCACTTTTCATTCAGACTATCCTTTCGTAAAACGCTTGTCATATTAGAATATTGAAGAAAAGATAGCAGTTTTTCTTTCAAATGCCCCGTGTATTACAAAGAACTATCTCTAATAATATTACATTTTTATATCAAGACTTTTATCCAGATAATTATAAATTGAACAAAGCTTGAGATAAAAATTAAAACTTTAAGAAAATTTATACAAAATACTTTTATGCTACTCATTAAATAAAGTCGCTCATAAAATTTTACACACATACAATTTTTAATACATTTATTTCTAATTTATTAATAAATATTTTTCTCGTTTAAATAAAATATTTAAAATATTAAAAAAGTTTTAAATACAAAAAATCCAGGGCAGTCTTTTCAAATGTCTCACAGTAGTACAAAAGATTATCTTTGATGATATTATTATTTTTATATGATAGCTATAATTATATTATATTTTTATATGACAGCTATAATTTATGAAAGCTGTCATAAAAGTGACCATGATTTCTAACAAAATGTGAGATGAAAATAAAAACTAGGACAACTGAATCGAATTATACGTATAATTGTAATTGACACACAATTTGTGAAAACGTTATTTTTACGCTACTTATACTTAAAATATACATTTAAAAATTTTGTACATATATGTACACACTATTACTAATATATCTCTTTCAAATCTACAGATAATTCCGTTCTTTTTTTAAGTAATCCTTATATATACATGTACACATTTTATTATGTATTTAGCCATTCATGCAAATTTGCATGTTTTCAATGAGTAACGCAAAAAGTATTCCTTGAATAACTTCCGAAGCTTTCAATCTTATCTCCTTCGCAATTTCGAAAAGTCAGCGCAAATAATGACGACGTGGGTAAAATAGCCAGCGTCACTGACTAATTGCCGAAGTAGACAGAGGGATGAGAAGGTAAAGCCCTTAGTCGGCAAGCGTACAAAGAGCGAAAGAACCGTCGAACGGAGCAGTTTTCGCACCGGAATCAACGGCTCATTCAGTAATGTGCACGATTCTTTCCTTCGACCGGGGGTGACGAAAGAGAAAGACGGAAAAGTTAAGACCGGGATTTCCACGAACATAGCTGGAACATGGCTGTTAGAGCGATACAAAATGCATCATGAGGGAAGAACAGAGATAATAGATGCTGGATATAGATGAATCGGAATGGATATAAAGAGGGGAAAATGAGGAACTCTGTCTGTGATTTATCCGACAATGCAAACCAGCTTTCTCATATCACTGTATTGTTTCCATTGTTCCAGCGCATGGAGGGATTGTTAGTCATTATGAGAGTGGAGAAGTCAAAGAAGGTTCTCGGGCAGAGAGGGGTGGATTTATCCGCCATCCTAGGCTCCCTCCTTCTGTCCATCGTCAAACATCTCGCGGGTATAGTTCGCAAAATTCCAGCGGGACTTCTGACATCTCATTTCTGCGGATGCGTGTCATCAAAGATGTCGAAAGAATCGAGAGAGAAATTTTAGATTCTAGATACTTGAATTTATATCTGTGCGAAAATTTATTCATTGATTCATTGGTAAAAAAGATGGAAACAAGCTTTTTTGCAAAGAGAAAATTCGTATCTTTTTTTTATCAATTTATCAATTATTTTGTTAATGGATGTTCACATTATATATTGTTAATGCAAAGATAATTCGCGATTTTATATTCAGGATCGGATTACATGGATCACATGACATGCAATTGGCTGATAAATCGGTGTGTATGCGTGTTGCTCTAAAGGAATTTCATTTCGCGAATGGAATTACTGAAATGTAAAACGGATAAAATGTGTAAAACGAATAATACTAAACGGATCACGTGTAGTACATTCCTATAACATAACGAATCGTAGATCTGAAAATACGTGAAATTGCACGCGGGAATTTTTCTAGTGACAATCAGAAAGTGCAGTGTGATTACTAGCTTTCCATCAATTAAAGTTTAAACGTCGATTGCTT